GGATTTGGTTATGTGGAGTTTGCTACAAAACGCATACGCATCGTACTAAGTGTTGTCATAATACGGGTGAGATTGTGTCGCCCCCGGATGAAGGAGATGGTATTGTTCGTTTTGTCCTTTATGGTTTCTCCAAGCCACAAGCTCCCTATTCTCCACCTCGGCTTGGGCGCATGGGTGGTTTGGTGCAAGATCAACATTGTGGTTTTGATGTGGCTTTCCTTGATGGTTTGTTCTCTAGGGGGTTTCGCACTGTGAAGTCTATCCCTCACAGGTGTCGTTTGGGGTTTTCTCGGGTTTTGAAAGGTGCTCTTGATAAGGTGATCTCTAAGCCTGATGATATTTCTAATTGGGTCTCTTTGTTGGTGTTACCTCTTTGCACCCTTAAAACCTTTTGCCCGTGGAGTAGTCGTGAGTCTCGGTCTTCAGTGAAACGTCGGCATCAGGAAGAGAGTATTTCCCGTGCTATTTGTTCTTGGAGTGCACCCGATGGTAGTTTGCAGCTTGTGAGGGAAACTCTGGCAGAGGATTCTCCTACTTTGTCGGTCGTTGATGTTGAGGACCTTGATTTGGAAGAGCGTAATATCAAGCAGTGTCATCGGAAGATATGCGATGGTCATTACATCGCCGCAGTCCGGGTTGTTTCTCTTCAGGCGTTGCTCCTTATAATGAGGCCACTCTTGCGGATTTACAGTTAAAGCACCCTTCTTCTCCAGCTTCATCCTTGCCTAATATACATGTTGATCATCTTCATCTCGTTACTACTTCTACTGTAGTTTTGGATCGGATAAAGAGTTTTCCGCGTGGCACTTCTTGTGGTAAGGACGGTTTATGTGCTCAACACCTTATGGATTGCTTGAGTGGTGCTGCTGTGGCTGTCTCAGATGAGTTAGTTGACTCTATTTCTGGGGTGGTTAATCTCTTTCTAGCTGGAAGATGTCCTATGGAACTAGGAGAGTATATTGCTAGTGCTCTTCTCACACCTCTTTTCAAGCCTGGTGGTGGTATTCGTCCTATAGTTGTGGGTACTATTCGGCGGCGTCTGGTTTCGAAGGTCGATGCTGTTATGGTTGGCCAGTCTTTAGGAAGTTACTTTGATAGTCTCCAATTTGGCGTTGGGGTTTCTTCGGGAGGTGAGGCGATTCTTCATGCTGTGAATCGGTTGATTGAGGATCGTGGTTCCGATGTTGGTCTTCTATGTTGTTGGTGGATTTTCAAAATGCCTTCAATCTAGTTGATCAAGCGGTCGTGTTACGTGAAGTTCGTCGTCGTTGTCCGGGCTTTTCGCAATGGGTTGAATTCTACTACTCTAATCCAGCTAGATTATATTACAGGGACCACACTTTATGGTCGTCTCAGGGGGTGCAGCAGGGTGATCCCCTTGGTCCTCTGCTTTTTGCTTTGGTTTTACAACCCTGGTGTGTAAAATCAAAGACACTTTTGATGTATGTCTTCAGGCTTGGTACATGGATGACGACACTGTTATTGGTGACACGTTGGTGGCGGGGAAGATTCTGCAGTTGATTATGGAGGAAAGGCCTCGTTTTGGGTTACATCTTAACATGGAAAAAATTGAAGTTTTCTGGCCTACATAAGACCCTCGAAGCAGGCTTGTGGGTGTCTTTCCACCTAATATTGCTCGACCCTTGCGTGGTGTTAAGTTACTTGGTGGTCCCGCTAGTTTCGATTCCGGTTTTGGAGGTGACCTTGTGATGCAGAGGGTGACCAAGACCATTGCGCTTATGGATAAGGTTGCTAAGCTTGATGATCCTTAATGCGAGTTGTTGTTGCTTAGGGCTTGTACCAGAGTTTCTAAACTCTACTTTGCTTTGCGTACTTGTCCCCCTAGTACTTTTGAGGTGGCTTAGCGCACATTCGACGAGGCTCTTCGATCTTCCTTGGACTGTATCGTTGCTGCTTCAGGGCCTGGGTTTTGCGATTGGCAGTGGCGGCTTGCCACCTTGCCTTTTGCGTATGGAGGGCTTGGTGTTTATTCCGCACGTGATGTTTGTCATTATGCTTTTCTTGCTTCGCGGTTATAGTCTGTTGGGTTGCAGACAAAGCTTCTGCGGCATGCTGGCGTTGTTGGCCTTGGTCGAGCCTTTGAGGATCCGTTGAGCTTGTTCAATAGAACGGTGGAGTCTGACATTTTGAGTAATCCTAGTGAGGTCGCTGCCCCTAAACTCATGAAGAAATTGTCAGATATATATTTCACAAAGGTTACCGATTCTGCAAAATCCACCTTCTTTTTATCTCCTCGTCAATCAGCATTGTGGAAATCGCAGCAGGGAGATCACACCTCTGCTTGGCTTCGAGCGGTTCCTATTTGGGGTTGGGTCAGACGATGAACGCAAAGACTTACCGATGTGTGTTGTGCTACTGCTTGGGTGTTCCATTGTTCTTTGTCTCGACGCCGTGCTCTGCTTGTTCAAGGGTTTTTACTGGGGATTTTTTCGGTGATCACACGGTGTCGTGTGCTGCTATAATGGGCATTAAGAATTGGCATAATGTTGTGCAGGATACCCTTGTTGATGTTTGTTATCGATTTTGGATTTCAGCTAGAAAGGAGGTTGACATTGGGTTGTCCGGAGGGAACGACGGGGCCCTAGCTAAGACCTGCAGATGTGTTACTTTATTCTTGGGATCGTGGTCGGGATGTCTGTGTTGACTTGACAGGGTCATCTCCTTTGACACAGTCTGGGTTATCTGACTTTGTTCCTGGACGGGTTGTGGCTGATGCAGCTTATCGGAAACGGGTCAAATACGAATCCAGTTGACGGGCAATTAGATATGGCTTCCTTCCTTTCTCTTTCTCTACACTTGGGGAATTAGAGAAGGAGGCGATAGCATGGTGAAGCGGATCCAGAAGTTCTCGAAGATTCAAGATATTGGGACACGTGTTGCTGCTTATATCTTCACTAGAATAGGATTTGCTATAGCTAGAGGAGTGATGGCCCATATTGTATCTCGGCTTCCCACTAATTTTTTGTAGATTGTAATGATATTAATGCGATAAAAATAATAATAGGAAAGGTTATGGAGTTGATTTTGGTGGAGGGGCCTCGTCTTGGCCTCCATATAAACGTTGAGAAAACGGAAGTTTTCTGGCCCACGGAGGACCCATGTAGCCGTATGGTCGGTGTCTTTCCTCCAGATATTGCTCGTTCTGTACATGGAGTTAAGTTGCTTGGTGGTCCTGTCAGTGCGGATTCCTCTTTCTGTAGTGAGCTTGTTTTGCAGAGAGTGTCGAAGACCATTGTGCTAATGGATGCTGTTGCTAAGCTTGATGATCCCCAATGTGAGTTATTATTTCTTCGTTCGTGTACTGGGGTTTCAAAACTCTACTTTTCTATGCGCACTTGTCCTCCTTGTCTTTTTGATATGGCCCTTCGAGCTTCTTTGGAGCGCATTGTGACTACTTCGGGGCCAGGTTTTGGTGATTGGCAATGGCGACTTGCCACCTTACCTTTTTCTTATGGTGGATTGGGTGTCTATTCAGCGGGTGATGTTCGACACTATGCTTTCCTTGCGTCGCGTTTGCAGTCAACTGGTCTTTAGGCTTTGCTTATTCGCAATTCTGGTATTGTTGGTCCAGGATCGACCTTCGATGGAGTACTTAGTCTTTTTAATAGGAATGTGGAGACTGACCTTATGCGTAACCCTAGTGAGATCGCTGCCCCCAAACTCATGAAGAAATCGACAGATATATATTTCACGAAGGTCACTGCATCTGTAGAATCCACTTTCTCCTTATCTCCGCGTCAGGTTGCCTTATGGAAGTTCCAACAGGGGATCACACTTCTGCCTGGTTGCGAGCGGTCCCGATATCAGGTTTGGGTCAGACTATGAATGGTAAGACTTACCGTTGTGTTCTTTGCTACCGGTTGAGAGTTCCCTTATTCTCCGTTTCGACACTGTGTTCTGCTTGCTCAAGGGTTTATGATGGGGATATTTATGGGGATCATGCAGTGTCTTGTGCTGGGATGGTGGGTATTAAACATCGGCACAACGTTGTTCATGATACCCTTGTTGATATTTGTTTTCGCTCTGGGATTTCTGCAAGGAAGGAGGTTAACGTTGGGTTGACTGGAGGGAACGACGGGGCTCTTCGACCAGCAGATGTGTTGCTTTACTCCTGGGATAGAGGCCTTGATGTATGTGTTGACTTGACGAGCTCTTCTCCTTTGACACAATCTGGGTTGTCTGACTTCGTTCCTGGTCGTGTTGTGTCGGCTGCGGCTCAGCGGAAGCAAGACAAGTATGGGGCGCGTTGCATGGCTATTGGCTATGGTTTTCTTCCTTTCTCCTTTTCTTCATTGGGGGAATTAGAGAAGGATGTTGTTGCGTTGCTGAAGCGGGTTCAGGCGTTCGCTAGGGCTCAGGATATTGGTGCTCGTGCAGCTGCTCACATCTTCAACAGGATCGGGTTCGCTATAGCTAGAGGGGTGGGTACCCAGATTGTATCTCGACTCCCCACTAATTTCTTGTAAATCGTTTGACTTTGTAAGTTTTTGTTATAATAATAATAATAATAATAATAATAATAATAATAATAATAATAATAATTCTGAGATCTGCTGAAATCTGCTCCGCGAAGCTCAAAAGAACAGGGCCTTAGAGTATCAGAAGGCTAGAGTGTTTGCTAAAATGGCAGGGGGTTTAAAGTTTAGAATTCTTTCCTGTAAGCTGTTGCAGACTAGTCAGCCTCCTTCATAATTTCAAGTGTAAACTCGAGTTGATTCAGAAATGGCAGGAATTACAAACACGAGCAATACGAAACGAGAAAGACATGGATCGATACCGTATAAAGATAGTGACATAATAGCTTAGCAAAAAGGACATAAAACCAAGCAATATACTTCTAGGAATGATAGCTAAGTGAGGTATAAAGACAAGCAACTCAAAAAAACTTGCTTCACAGCATTAAACAGTATGATTATTGCCAACTAGTAAATATAAATTAATAACAATAATTATTAGAATGGACATCACATGCTGCAGGATATATATGGTTCAAGTTTTTCTGTTTACTATGACTTCTGAGATCCCGTTGAAGTACAACAAATTACTTTAGATTTGCCTGAGTAGATCAATGTTCGGTTCCATTACAAAATTGATCTAATGAACCACCAAGCTAACGGCTAGAGTTCTCAAGTTACATCTTAATTTAATGTTAAGACTAAAAAACATACTCCTTAGGGTCTGTTCACTTTTACTGCAATACTCGATAGGCAAGTGTAGCAATTTTAGTGAAATGGAGGAAGTACAATGATCTGATAATATATACACTGATACACATGATCTGGTAAGGTTACCTATCACAACTACACATACTAAATCCGACTTATTGTTTAATGCATACTTACATTTTTAGACTTCAGTAAATGTGCCTTACGTGCTTGCCGAGCAGAAACCATCCTCTCAAGCCGACTAATCCTGGCATCAATTGCAAGACACTGCACTTCAAAAGCATCAAAATCACCATTATCTTCTTCATCACTGAGAATCATAAGATTGACATGTGAACTATTCACTTCCTTCGATCTAGCATCTTCTCTTGCTTCACCTTGTTCATCTTCAACTAATGCTCTGGGCAAGGTATTCACCTGAATCAGTGGCTCTGCCCCACATAAGCTTCTATCACCTTCAGGTTGAGTACGAGTGTCCTCACCCGTGTTGATGCAACTTTCATTCACCTCCTTTTCTTTTTCTTGCTCCATACCGTTGCACTCAAATTTTCGTTCATCCTCCTCTACTCCTATCAATGGATTCATCAAATCAACCAAACCAACTTCATTGGAAACATGCTCTTGAGTTTCAGATGCTATGCTGCCAACAAATTCTGAGCTCATAGCCTCATTACAAGCATGCAATAACCAAGAAAGGTGAGTTTCATTTTGAAGATATTCAAGATTTCCCTCTGAAGACTTGCTTGCTTCACCCATGTTCATATTGCTCTGATTTACCTGTCTTTCCTCCTTTTCGGCCACAACATTCTCCTTGCACGTGTCTGCGTGCTCTGGCCTTGCCTGCAGATCTAATATAGTATCTTCACCAGGTGCATTGGCTTTGCAAAACGAAGAGTTATAATTTTGCATTTTTCTGCTGCTGCTACTACCAACAGAATTTGAACATTCATGATCAGCATCTGAAACTACTTTGGAATCTTTCTTCAGTTTCGTCGTGCTTCTCCTCCACGACTCACAGTCATCGTGTACAGACAACATTGTCCTCCACCACTCATAATATTGAAAGGTAACACCTCCCTCAATCGATTGAGGAGGTAAATAGAATTTCAAACCATCAAGTGGTTTGTCATAGCTATTCCAAGCAACTTCGGTAACAACACTCGGTCTAGGATGGCAAAAGGGAACATCTTGATCCAATCCAAATTGCATTGCAACTCTTTGTGGAAGATATTGCTCCATACAATTAACTCCTACCAACACAAACGTCCTCAAGCACTTTGCAAATGACAAATATTGCTCATCCACCTCCGGCTTTACCGAAACCCACATCTCCTGATCACAATAGAACTTGGGAAATTCCCAGTTCTTCAAATGTAAAGCATAAGGCCTCCACAAGAAATTATCCCCAGTAGAGGAGTCTAAAATCAGCCTCAAAATCCCGAGTTTTAATTTCTTAACATTCTGCCACCGAGCCAGTCTAGGCTGCCCATGGGCAAGAGAACTCGGTTTTAGACCTAATGTTGGAAACCTCTCCCAAACCCATATCTGAACCAGATGAAAAGGTGCCCAAACAACAAGCTTTGAACCATCATCTTGACCATTACATTTACAGGTTACAATTTTTTCATTCAGTAACCTCAAATCACTATATATTGTAGCTAGAACAGCCGGGGCAAGTGCAATGCGAGTACCTCTAGTAAGACTAATAGCAATGGAAAAAACTTTAGGGGAAATCCTACCATATGAATTTGTAGTAAAAACATTTCTTGACAACCATAGAACAACAAATGCCACATGCTCAATCTCACCACCTTTTCCCCTAAAATAGCTCATCCATTTACTATGAGAAACATGAAAACTATTACTTTTATTGATTTTTTTCCTTGCAACAACCAATTCCTTAAGGATATCCCCACCTTCCATGATCCGTGAATGACTTCGAGCAGAGCTTCCCAAAACAGAAAATCCTCCCAAAATCATAGCATCCTCCAAAGTAATTGTGGATTCACCCCAAGGAAAAAAGAACGTGTTGGTCTCGGAACACCACCTCTCAGCTAATTTTATAATCAACTTATTATCCTTCACAATGTGGTACGTCGAGGCCCGAATTGCCTCGAAGATTCCGACTTTCTTCCATATTTCTTGATGAGCTTGCTCCATATTATCAACCCATGACTTCCATGACTTGAGTGGTCCTAACATCCCATGAAAACTAACCCTTTTATTAATCAGCTGTATGTAATTTGGGTTTAAGGGAAGGCAGAGAGAAGATAGATCAGGATGAGGTTGATTTGTGGGGTTTGAAACTGGTTTAAGAAAATGAGCTTTTCTGAAAGTTGGTAATCCACCATTAATGGATGAAATCATGAGCTCTTCTCTTTCTACAATCATGTTGTTTTCTTCTTCCATATTTTTTCTGGAGAAGTCTGTCAAATTTTTGGGTTCTTGGAGATGGCTTGTGCGTTTCATCTACCTGATATATCTTACAAATTACAATAAAGAATCAAATCAAATTATCTTTATTTTTTTATTTTTATTTTGTTACTTTTTTTTTGCCTTTTATAGTAAAAAAAATTATAGTAAATAAAAAGTCATAAATCAAATTGACTTTTACCATATTTGTAATAACATTGGTCCTAGCATGCTTAATTGCTCACAGCCTGTACAACAGCTCGTCTGCTCCTACTGGTTCTACTTTAATACAAGCACTATAGGTTCTCTTTTCTGTTAAATGTAGTTGTGCGACTGTGTATGCATATGAATTTATGAAATACTCTACCATACTTTATTTAAAATTTTGTTGCGAATATCTACCCGGTATTTTCATGTTTGCCAAGACGAGATATCACATGACTGTTTTTTCTTGTGTAAATTACTAAAGATGATCACAATAAAGTTATATAAATAGAGTAAAGTTAAAACATTGTAACTAAATAAAAATAAAAGAGGAAGTATATTATTATAAGGAGTAAGATATTCCATAATTTTTGAAAACAACTCTTCCTCCGTCCTCGTCCTCACTTTCAACCAAAACGTTCCACATAGATTGTACTATAGTAGTCAATTTCTTGAATGTAAATTTTACATCACCCATTCAAGTGATGTGGTGCAAAATTTATTACATGGTCAAGTGTACCTCTACCGTGGTCTTCGGTTAGACATTCGGTCATATAAAAACTTGTACTAAGGTTCTGTAAAAAATTTGCTTTAAGTCCTCAGCTCTGATGAAGGTATTAGGCATACTTTACATGACTAAATGAAAATAATGTGATAAGCCAGATAATCAGCGAATAATGATCCAGTTCGACTCTTGAATCAGATTAAGAAACCCTATATTTCAGCCTCAATTTCTGTAAACAAGTAAAATCTGTTAAAATTTCATCATCACACAATCCTTGCGTAAAATCCAAGTGATAAAAATGAGTGTCCGTTATACATGCAGGTGTTCCTTAAGGAAGCAAATAAGTGAATTCCTGCGCACAATTCTTCAGGCAGTTTCATTTGCATTCATGTTCTTCTGTACTAAAGCAGATTTCATACAAGTCAAAATGTCAATACAACAAATACTAATCCTTGGTAATTTGGTTTAAACCTTTCTTTAAAATCTACTAATCAGTTTAATGATATATATACAAGCTCAACTAAGAGCACTTCAAAAGGGTTCATCCAACTGAATATCTAAAATTCTCTAAGTACAAGGTCACATACATTTTTCCAGCTAAATATTCCCTTGATCTGAAAGACAAAGCTACAAATCAACCTGTAATTTTCTCTTTTTCATTTCACTTTTAACTTATATGACCTGGTTGTCTTCTAAGGTGTTCGGCATTTTACCACAGCAATCACCCTAAGGGGACATCTCAATGACTTCATATGGTAATCTGTTTACTGAAATTCTTTTTCAATACAATGTGTCAGTTTCTTATTCGAGAGTAGGAGGACGTGAGTGACTTGCTACATTTACAGTTTTTAGTGTTAATAAATTTCAACACAAACTCAAGTTAGATCAGAAAATAAAAGGGAAACTAACAAAGCCAGCACAATAAGAGAGATATATGGATCAAGCGTCACAAACTCTGTATAAGGAAAGATACCTTGGAATTTCTAACCTTCATCTTCAGATTGCAAGATGATGAATATTGGAAACTTATACCTGAAAAATGATAAATATTGCAGATTTCAAGATCAACTCCCATTCATGGCTTCATGAAGTATCATCATTTCCAATGTTCAATAAATATAATAACTCAATCCATTAACAAGGATATCATATGCTGCAATATGATATATTTAGTTCAGGTATTCTTGTTATTATGACATCTGAGTTAGAAGAGTATAGTAAATAGTTATAACTCTTCTGTTCAGGCCAATTTGATTTTACTAGCTCAAGGTTTATCTAACTATATCATGAGAAGTGACATAAAAACACAAATATCAGTGTTCATTATTCATGATACTCTGAAAAAAAGTACAGTATTACGTACAGACATTATCATCATCTATGGTATATATTACTTCCCATGATACCCTATACACAGTTACCAAATCAATACTACACCTTTACCCTAGGGTAGCATCTAAAATGAATTCAGAATCAGGTAAATGAAAAGTCTTAATAGCATCAGATATACGATGCTTCTCACCACATTTGGCTGTTTATTGTTCGATTGAATTGAATCATGTCAAAGAGTGTTGTGGCCACTGTGAGAAATTTCGGAAGCTTATGGATATAGCAGTGTCACGCAAACTATATAAGATAACGAATTAGAATATTAGAAGGCTAGTGTGCAAGCTAAAATGGCAGTGGGATTAGAGTTCAGAATTCTTACCAGTAAGCTGTAGTAGGCTAGCAGTGGCCTCCTTCATAAATTAAAGTGCAAACTCAAGTTGATTCAGAATTGGCAGGGAAAACAAACACAAGCAACACGAAACAAGAAAGAAATGTATCGATACTATATAGAGATGGTGATAGAAGAGCATAGCAAATAGGATATAAAATTAAGCAATATACTTTTAGGAATGATAGATAATGCAGATATAAAGATAAGCAACTTAGGAAAACTTGCTTCATAGTATTGAAAAGTACGATTATTGCCAACTATGTAAAATTATAAACAATATCAATTATTAGAAAGGATATCACATTCTGCAGGATATAAAGGTTCAGGTTCTGTTTATTCTGACCTTTAAGATTTGTTCAAGTACAGCAAATTACTTTAGATTTGCCTAAGTATATTAATGTGCTGTTCCATTACCAATTTGATCTGATGAGCCATGAAGCTAACGCTTGCAGAACTTCTCAATTATATCTAAATTGAATATAGAGAAACCAGAAACCATACTCCTTAGGGTCTGTATAAACTAACATCAAAATTCTAATGTATCTTCTTTGCAAAGATGGAAATTAACAACTAGCATCACATTTCTACTGTATAAAGTATAAACTGATAAACAGATGTGACTTCAGATCAGAGAGAGTTCTTGTGAAAGGTATGAAGGCATACTTTAGGCATGACTGAATGATAATAGTATGATAAACCAAATAATTAGTGATCCAGTTCAACTCTTGAATCAGGTTAAGACACCCTTAATTTTTAGCCTCTTTATTGAATAACAAGTAAAATCTGTTGTAATTTCATTATCACACGATCCTTGCAAAAAAATTATGTGATAGAAATAAGTGTCCAATATACACTCATTTGTCATTTCTATGTGAATTCCCATGCATTATTCTTCATGCAGTTTCTTTCTTTTTTTTTGACGGGTTTTTCATGCAGTTTCACTTGTATTCATGTTCTTCTGTACTGATGCAGAGTTCATATAAGTCAGAATGTCAAAATAAGATCTAATAATCCTTAAAAATTTGGGCTACCATTCTTTAAAATCTACTAACTGGTCTAATTTTTGATAAAAGACCAACTGAAAATGGTTCATCCAACTGAATACAAAAAATCATGTATCCACCAGTTGGGAAATAACAAGGTCACATACATTCTTCCAACTAAACCCTCTTGATCTGGAAGACAACACCACAACTATCACTTTTTAACATCTCTTTTTAATTATCTCTTTTATAATATCACTTGCAACTAAATTGACCTACTTGTCTTTTAAGGCGATTGGCATTTTATCACAGACAAATGCCTAAAAGGCTAAGACCATAGTATCCTACAACGTGACAGTAGCTTCAACTTAGGGGAGCATATCAATGAAATTCTATTACTTCATAAGTTAGTCTGGTTACTGATAAATTTTCACTAAAATTTTACTGTTTAATTGTTTATTCTTCGATATATGTCAATAACTATTGGCCATAGAAAATGATTTGAGTTAAAGATTTTACCAGACCAAGAAAAAGTTTAAAACGTTTTAAAACAAATGAGAGTAGGAGGAAAATGGCTCACTTAATTGAAATTCTCACTCTTCTCAGTGTCTCAGCAAGTCAGCATCAAAATTTATACTAGTAGACATGAGTAGTGCAGCCTCCCTAATAAGACAAATGAATTTCAGTACAAATCAAGTTAATTCAGAAAATACAGGGAAACAAGCACAACCAACACAGTACGAGAGAGGGAAATGGATCAAGAGTTTAAAGCCAAAGGACATGAATATTCCGCATAATCTTAAGGAATTTATAACTCCTTCAGTTTTAGTAATGCATAAATTCTTGGAAATTATTACCTGAATATGATGAAAGTTGCAGATTGCAAGATCAACTTACATAAAACTAGCTTCACGGCCTCAAAGTATCATCTGTTCCAATTTTCTAAAAACAGTCAACATCATTTATCAAAAAGGATATCATTTGCTGCAATAAGATATCGGGTTCAAGCATTTTCATTACTCTGATTTCCGAGTACAGCAAACTATCACAATAGATCTTCTGTTCTGGTTTATTTTTAGGTCTCTTGTCCGTCCAATAGATCAAATCTGATCTTACCAACTCAAGGTATATCTAAATGAGACATAAAACCACATATGTACTTTTCCTTTGATACTCTTAGCTCTTAACATAAGCACAGCATACATGCTCATGATATTACATCCCACGATAACCTAGACAATTTTACCGATCAATACTACACCTTCACCCTGGGGCCGGGTATCATCTATATGACTTCATAATCTAGTAAATGAAAAGCCTCAATGTAATCACATGTACTATGCGTCGATGCCTTCACCAAAAGTTATTGTTTGATTAAATCGATTCATGTCAATGCATGTTGTGGCCACTAAGATAATTAGGAAAGTTCATGGACATAACAGTGTCAATCAAAAATATAAAAAGGTGAAAAATTAGAGTTAGAAGACTAGTGGGTTTATAGTTCATGTGTATATTCAGGAGAGTTAAAATGGCAGTGGGTTTATAGTTCAGGATTCTTACCTGTAAGATGTAATAGGCTAGTAGCAGCCTCCTTTATAATATAATTTAAAATGTAAACTCAAGTTGATTCAGAAATTACAGCTCTCAGACAAACACAAGCAACACAACAATGTATAAAGATAATGACAGAAGAGCAAAGAAAACAGGACATAAAATCAAGCAATATATTATTAGCTTAGGAATAATAATAAAGATAAGCAACTCAGGAAAACTTGCTTCACAGCATCAAACAGTATGACCATTCCCAACTATATAAATAATAAACAACGTTCCATTAATAGAATGATTATCCCATGCATATTTGGTTCAATTATTTCTGTTTACTCTTCTGAGATTCTGTTGAACTACAGCAAATTATTTTAGATTTGCTTGAGTGACTAATGTTCTAAAATAAAGGTTGCAGAACTTCTCAAGTTATATCTAATTTTACTATAGAGAGAGAACCAAAGCCATACTCCTTAGGGTTTGTCTCTTTTACTGCAATACTCCATATATATATATACTTGTACATGATCTGAATATATATGCACATGATCTAGATAAGTTAACTGTCACTACTAAACATTACTTTTCAATTTATTTTTTTTCTTTCTAAATCTGACTTATGAATTTATGATTAATGTATACTTGCATTTTTGGACTTCGGCTTACCTGCTAGCAGAGCAGAAACCATCATTGCAAGCCAGCAAATTCTATCATCAATAGTAAGATCTAGACACTGCACTTCAAGAACATCACAAACACCATTCTCTTTTTCATCACTGAGAATCACAAGATTGTCATGTGAACTATTCACTTGCTTTGACTTGGCACCTTCCCTTGTTTCACCTAGTTCGTCTTCAATTAGTGCTCTAGACTAGGTATTCACCTGAATCAGTAGCTCTACGGCCTCTGACCCACAGGCCTACATAAACTCCCATTACCTTCATGATGAGTACAAGTATCCTCACCTAAGTTCATGCAGCAATTATTCACCCCTTTTTCTTTGCCTTGATCCATAGCACTGCCCCCAAAATGATCGAGTATTTGCTGAGTTTTTTATCCCTACCCCAAGATTACTTGCAAGATCTTCACCAAGTTATTGGCTTTACAAGGTGAAGAGTTTTCATCTTGCATTAACTTGTTATAACCAAGAGAATCTAGACCTACAGTATTATAAGATGAGCAAGATTGTATACACTTGTTGTTCCCTTCATGATCAACATCTACAAAACTACAACTAAGAAACTTTCTTCAGTTTCTTTGAGCTTCCCTTCCAACTCTCTAAGTCAACAGGGAGAAACAACGGTGTCCTGCAGCACTCAGCATACTGCAACGTTACATCTCCCTCGAATAATCGAGGGGGTAAATACAATTTCAAACCATCAAGCAGTTTGTCATAGCTATTCCAGGCAGGTTTATAATCAGCATTCGATCCAGAAACGGAAAAAAAAAAATATCCCGATCCAACGCAAAGTGCATGGCCACTCTATGTGAAAGGTATTGCTTCACACAAACAACACCTACCAAATTCACAATCTCCCATACACCTTGCAAATGACAAAATATGCTCATCCACTTCAGAATTCACCGAAATCCACTTCACTCAATCACAATAGAACTTAGCAAATTTCCAATTCTTCAAATGCAAAGCATAAGGCTTGGCCTCCTCAATAAATCATCTCCACTAGACCCTATGTCCAACCTCAAGATCCACGATTTGACTCCCTAATCCCGTGCCAACAAGCTACTAGGCTCACCATGGGCAACAGACACCGGTTTCGGTCCTACTGTCAGAAACCTTTCCCAAGCCCATACCTGAACAAGTTCAAAGGGTGCCCAATTGCCGAAAGAACAAGCTTTCAGCCATCATTTTGATCACCTTCACCGTTAAAGCTACAATATATTCTTTCATTATCCTCAGTTTAGCTATGGCTAAGAAGTAGTCGATTCATCAATTAGATATCAAAAATGTCTTTTTACATGTTGATTCGCAGGAAACTATATATATGAATCAACCTCCGGGTTTTGTTGATTGGAGAGCACCCACCTATGTTTGTCGGATTCGTAAGGCTTTGTATGGGTTGAAGCAAGCTTCTCGAGCTTGGTACCAAAGCTTTGCAAACTTTTTGGTCAGATCGGGTTTTGTCATTGCTAAAAACGACAACTCTCTTTTTACTTTTCGACAGGGTGATGATATGGCATATTTGCTTCTATATGTTGATGATATTATATTAGCTACCTCCACTGAGAGGTTGCGTGAGGGGATCATATCTCAGTTGCAAACTGAGTTTCTTATGTCTGATTTAGGCCCTTTGAGTTATTTTTTAGGGATTGCGGTGACCCATACTCCTTATGCTACTTTCTCAACAAAAGTATGCATAGGAGATTTTAGAGCGTGCATGTATGGGCTCTTGTAAACCTGCAACTACTCCAGATGACACTAAGTCTAAACTTAGTGCAAATTCAGGACCACCTTCTTGGGATCCTACTTTGCATCGCAATTTAGCAGGTGCTCTTCAGTACCTTACTTTCACTAGGCCTGATATTGCCTATGCGGTGCAACAGGTGTGTCTTTTTATGCATGATCCCCGGGAGTCTCATTATGATGCTTTGAAGCGCATTCTGCACTATGTTCAGGATACCATTGATCATGGTTTACATTTATATCCCTCTGCTTGCTTGCTTTATTTACACTGACGCTGACCGTTGAGGTTGTCCCGACACCCGTCGTTCCACATCGGGTTATTGCTGCTTCCTTGGGGACAAGCTCGTTTCTTGGTCATCTAAGCGTTAACCCACATTATCTAAATCAAGTGCAGAAGCAGAATATGAATATGAATATCGAGGCGTCGTAAACATTGTCTCTGAGGCTTGTTGGCTTCGTAATCTGTTATTGGAGCTACATTATCCTCTTCATTAGACTACTATATTTTATTATGATAATGTCAGCGCTATCTACCTTTCTAGCAACCCGTACAACACCAACGCACCAAACATGTGGAGACGTACATTCATTTTGTTCGAGAAAAGGTTGCTTTGGGTCACGTTCGGGTTCTACATGTTCCTTCCAGATATCAGTTTGCGGACATTTTCACAAAAGGCCTTCCACGAGACTTATTTTTGGAGTTTAGATCCAGTCTTAGCATACGACCTCCTCCCGCTATGACTGCGGGGGTGTGATAGATATTATTATATGATATAATTTGTATTCTTATCGTACTAGGATTCCTAACAAGATTAGGACTAGTATTGTAACACTGATTAATGGTACACACTCCAACTTGAGGAGTTTTCCCCGAAATCTAACACTATAAATCGAAGCAAGAAACAGGGACAAGCGCGAATTTAGTACCTCTACAAAGATTAACAGCAATGTACAATACATTCAACAAAATCATACAGCATAAATTCAATGTAAACACATACCTCAACAACAACAGAACAAAAAAAAACCACATTGCATTGATTTACTTGATGAAGATCATTTTTTTTTTCCTCGACTCTTTTACAAGCTTCAATCAACTTTCACTGAATTTCTCCACATTATCTTGTGTAGTAACAAAATTGGCTTCGACTGGTAAAACCCGAAATCCGAAATCCAAAAACCAAAAACTATCTCAAAACCATGACATCTTCCAAAGTAATGCTACATTCACTCTAAAAGAAAAGGAAAGTGTTCGTATCAGGGACTTTTTCTCAGCTTCTCTAATGATTAACCGGATGGTATTAGAACTAGTAAGTACATCATAATTCATGAATACCACCTTTTTTTCCATAAATCTTGGTGGGATTTGTGCAATTTCAACCATGAATTTCAATTTTTAAGTGGTTTTGATTTATCAAGATATTTGACCCTCTTTTTTCTCAGTTTTATTTTGAGGTTAAAGGGAAGATTAGACGGACGGGTAATTTTGGGTGAGATTGATTAAAATTAGAGAGCGTGTGTTTAGAGGGATAAAAGGAGTGGGATAAGGATAAAAAATAGGGATAGAAGAAATGTAGGGTTTATTTATAGGGATGAGGATTAAAAGAGGGTTATGGATAGGGATAAAAACACCCATTTATCTCTTCATTTCTATAACTAAAAGGGGTGGTACAAGGGAAAGTGATAAGAAATGAGTTTTAAAAAACTAAATTATATGAAATTGAAAGGGTAAGGAGAAAGGGTAGAAGTTAGTAAGGGTATTTTTATAAATTTATTACTTATCTCTAATTTGTTTCACATACTTACCAAATATGGAAAAAAATTATTTATCCTTGTCCCACCTATCAATCCCCTATCTTTATCCTCCTTTTCATCCCTCTTATTTATATCCCTTCAACCAAACGCCCCGGTATGATTTAAGATAAAGAGTTATAAGAAATTCTTAGATTGCTTCTAGAAAAACTTTTTTTTTTTTACAGAAATCTCTAGAAAAACTAATCTTTCAATTTTTTTTCATTTATAAAAGGATGTTTTGACAATTACCACCTATTGCTATTTTAGTAATTATCACCTACAGTTTTTTTTTTTTTAATTTTTTTAATTTTACCACTTATTATTTTTTAAAATATCAAAACTTCCCACCTACTTGGCTCTCAACTCAAATGTGACATCATGTGAGCCTACTAACTAACTTCCCACCCTTTTTCCCTACCTTTCTTTCTTTCTCACTCGATTTCTTATTACCCTGTATTGTATTCCTCTCAAAATTGGGGAAGAACTTCAATTAACATGAATATGTAATTTAGTTTGAACTTTTTCCCCAATTTTGAGAGGTGTACAATATAGGGGAATGAGAAATCGAGAGAGAAAGAAAGAAAAGGAGGGAAATAGGGTGAGAATGTAGTTAGTGGGCCCCACATGACATCACATTTCAGTTCGGAGCTAAGTAGGTGGGAAGTTTTGATGTTTAAAAAATAGTAGGTGGTAAAATTCAAAAAAAAAAAAATAACTGTAGGTGGTAACTCCTAAAATGACAACTATTGTAAGTGTCAAAAAATCCTTTATAAAAAAATAATCGATCTATTACTTCCTTCGTATTTTTAGTTTATATAATTTGACTTTTAGACTATTCACAAACTACACTTTAACTAGCTTTTGTGATTTATATAGTCAAGTGAGATCTTGTTTGAATCGTATTAATGTATATTTTATTAATAACCACTTTTTATAATTTAACAATATAGATAATTAGATACATTAATCGTTAAAATAGCACATTAACAATCGTGATAAAAGAAAAATGTCAACTAAAAAGAAATGAAGGTAGTATGACCTTTTTTTTAAGCCTATTATAGAAACACTAAGCCTCGTTTGATTGCACCAATTTCATATACTGTACACACCAACAAACATGAAATTCCATGAAATACAGTAAAAGACGTAAAGGTAGGTTGTTTGATTAATAAAAAAACAAATGTAAATTGGAGGAAATAATTTCAATTTTTCACATTACTACGGCGGCTACGCATTTGATACGTGCGTTATAACTAGCCATATCTAGATAACTCTTTCAATTTGGCTCTATATGTAAAATTTAGTTGTTGGTATAGACGGAAAATATATAAACAAATATTTTTAGAGATATAAATGTCCCCATATTATTTCAAGAGTTCAAAAAAAGAAAAAATTAACAATAATAAGGGTAAATAAGTAAATAATTATTTTAAAGGGTATAATTGTCTAAACACTATACCAAAAAAAACAATTTCCTAGGAAATAGATAAGGTAATTAATGAGAAAATACAAGTTTCTAACATTATTAAACAAGAATTTCTTTTGTTTAACAAATGACAATTTTGTAAATAAATTTTGCATAAATATAAGTGCTTTTGTAATTAAAAAAAATTCTTGTACCACTAATTCACTAACTTGACGCTTTGAGAAGAGCTTTAATGGAGCCAAGAAAAATAAAGGGCTCAAAAACAACTTCAATGGCTACTGCTTCACGATTTCACAAGCAGATTCAATGGAGAAAGAAAAGCTCCACTACCCTTATATAAGGTTAACCATGCCCTTTATTTCTCCCTTTTATCTTAGGAATTTCTTTTTGATTTCGGCGGCGAAGCTGCCGAAAATGGTGGGTGACAAAGGTGATGAGTGATGAAGAAGACGAAGATGATTAAAGGAGGAAGTAGATGAAGAATCGGAAGATGAAGGTGCAATGGGTGATGTAGAAAGGAGGAAGAAGATGATGACAATGGATGAAAAAGTTAAGGGTGTTTCTTATGAATTACAAAACTAGCCTTCACTATATGCCGAAATTTACGAATTTTCTCCTTGACAAACACCAAATATTTATCATCGTGAGTTATTGGGATTCCCTCATACTCCCTCTGTCCCCAATATATTGCCCCTTCCCCATTTATTGCTTTATTAAGAGATGTTAGGTAGTGGAAATTGTTGTGGTCCCTTAGGCATATTTGTGGAATTAATTAGCAAATTGCTGAGAGATAATGTGCAAGTGGGCTTCTTAATACTCCCACTCACAATTGCTGACTGTAGAATATTAAAATTCACTGAACATTTCATAAATAGAGTAAAAGGTAATCCCACTCACAAATGTTCACTGTGCGAAACTATTTTACAAAAAGTGTTACAGTAATTCTCCAAATTTTTGGAGGGAAAATTTTCCCCCCTAAACAAAAAACAGGGCATTATAAATAGCAGAAGGCAAGTAATTTTATCTTCCTCCTCTTACTTTTCATCACCTGAGAACACAAAAAATACACAGGGCATTAAAATTGTTAAGGAAAAAAAAGCCAGAAAATTAAATAGGGGAGGGGTACGGTGGGGGGGAATTACTCTCAGTTTTATCATCATCGAGTAATTAAGGGACTCTTTTCACCCATGCCAAATTCCGAAATGGAAACAATTGATTTTCTGAGCTTCATTGGCAACAACTCAGGTGAAACAACTCAGGCATCCTCTCAGGCATCAACTCAGCCATCATCTGTTGAAACAACTCAGGCATCATCTCAAGAAACTACTCAGGCAGCAACCCAGGCAACAGCTCAGGCAACAACTCATGCAGGAACTCAGTCAACAAGTCAGGCAGCAACCCTGGCAACAACTCAGGCAACAACCGAACAAAATGAACGCAGGAAATACATGAAAGATGTGGAAAGGAAGGTGTGCATAGAAAGCCTACTACATGCAGCAACAAACCTGAAGCTACCTCCAGGGACAATTAATAAACTTTCCCACATTCATGGTGTTAGTAGGTGGACTTTGCAAAGGATATGGAAGCATGTGAAGCTTAGTGTGCGTTTGAAACAAAGCATCAAAATCAGCAAAAATCAAAAAGGAAAGGCTGGCAGAAAACCAATTCAACTGAATGTTGAACAATTGATGGCAGTCCCCTTGAAAAAAAGGGGGAACATTAGGTCATTAGCTTCAGCAATGAAAATAAACAAGTCAACAGTTGGGAGGTTTGTAAAGAAAGGCAAGATCTTAAGGCATAGTAATGCAATCAAACCAACACTTACAGCTGTGAATAAGATACAAAGGCTACGATGGTGCATGCAACAAGTAATCTCAAGCACAATTAATACCATCCCCCGATTTGGAGATATGTATAACGTGGTTCACATTGATGAGAAATGGTTTTTTATGACAAAAAACTCACAAACATTTTATTTGGCACCAAATGAAGTACGTCCTTACCGGAATTGTAAGTCTAAAAGGTACGATACCAAAGTAATGTTTGAGGTTGCATTGTCCAGAGCAGTTCATGGACCGGATAATGAATGTTTGTTTGATGGGGAGTTAGGATGTTTCCCATTGACAGAAGTAATTCCAACAAAGCGATCTAGTATACATAGAGTGGCTGGCACTTTGGAGATAAAACCAATCAAGAATATTACATAATCAGTGATAAGGAAGTTATTTATTGAGCAATTGCTTCCCTCGATCAAGGCAAATTGGCCAATTGATGCATGTGGAACCATTTGGGTTCAACAAGATAATGCTACACAACATTTGCAACTACATGACATTGAATTCAGAAACGCAGCAAACACAGAAGGTTTCAACATACATCTTATAGCACAACCCCCAAACAGTCCGGACTTAAATGTTCTCGACTTAGGGTTCTTTAATACAATTCAAGCAATCCAACACCAACAAGCCCCTAGAAACGTGGACGAGCTAGTAAGTGCTGTCAAGTATGCTTATGAAATTTTTGAGCCTCGTAAAGTTAATCATGTGTTTCTTAGCCTACAATATTGCATGCTTGAGATAATGATGGTGCAAGGTTCAAATAATTATATACAACCACATCATGCAAAGGAAAGGATGGAAAGAGCAGGAAATTTGCCAACATACATAGAAGTCCCTATTCAGTTGCTAAAAGAAAGTATGACTTCTTTGCTACAACAACACATGGAATTACATGGATTGACAAACACTGTTCAGGAACCAGAAGAAAGGGCAGAGGCAGAAACAGAGTAGATTCCAAGGGAAACAAATACCTCAATCGGGCAAGACACGTCTATGCAAGTTCATGAATTGGGAGGAATGATGCAGGACATGTGCATTTCCAGGAGGTGATACAAATCAGGTAGTGGCATGTTATTCCAAAAGATAAACAACGCAAATTATGAAATTATCACAAGAATTTTTTGATGTACAGATTTGTAGTAACTTGGCAGAGTAGTCAAATGTTGGTTATGATCAAGACTACTTCAGTTTTTAGTATTTTGCCCCATTTTGTGTAATGTCTATAGGGATTAAATGTACTTTTGTGATGTTTAGAAGGTTGCAATCATGCAATTTATTCTGTAATTATAAATGAACCAACTTATGAATTATATCAACTTTATTTATTACTTTAATGTATGTGTCCACAAAACAGGAAGAAGAACACACAATACACAACTCAGAATTGTTTTTTTTCATAGTGTTGTGATCATCATGGGGTTGGCAACAACATTGCAACTGTGTGCCTCATCAAACATCTACGGGATGGAGTGGCATCACAGTGCCTCGTCAAACATCCTACAAGGTGGAGTGGCAACAAATACGTGTTTAAGGGACTGCTTAATCGTGCCTCGTCTAACATCAAAAAAAAAGATGGAGTGGCATCACATAAGCTGAACCCCCACCCCCTCAGAGTAGATTATACACATACTCATCATAGGGTCTCTCTGTCTATTAATAAGTCTACTTAATAAACAATACAGGACAACAACATTGTACCAACATTTCACCAAATGAAACTAGGATCATTACTCCACCTTACAATGTACAACACAGAGATTTGGACTTACAATCACCAACATTCCAATTCACAAATACTAACAGATTTAGACATCAGAGTTCGAATTAAAAATTACTCAAATTCACAAATACAAAAATACTTCAGAGTCGTAATTAAGTCAATACCCAACATAGTAATCGAAAGTAAGGAAAATTCAGAGATTTGGTCTAACAATCAGAAATACTCCAATTCACAAAAACTAACAGATTTAGACAATTAGAGTTCGAATTAAAAAGTACTCCAAATCACAAATACAAATATACTCCACCATCATAATTAAGCCAATAGCCAAAACATTTATAAGAAGTTAGGCTAATTCAGAGATTTGGACAGACAATCACAAATACTCTAAATCACAAAAACTAACAGATCTAGACTAAACAATCACAAATACTCCATTTTTAAAACCTTAGGGTAATTAACAGGTTATCTGGCCTTTTTCGGATCACAAAAATAAAGAGGACAAAGAAGTCGAAGCATTTCACCTCCATTTTCTGGTGTTTGGCCGGAAAAGTAATTTTCCGGCCCTTGGGACTTAAAAACATAAGCGTCGACCTCTATATCAGAAGTACCAAAGTCAATAGCCCTTTTTGAACCCCTAGATCTGACCACCCCCAGCCTTCTAGAAGGTATTAAATTGCTACCCCCTTTGGTAAAGCTGGGTGGTCAGGAAGACTGCATGCATAATGGTGTCTCCAGAATCACGCCTGGAGGTGGCGAGCTAGTGATGGTTGCTGCAGGGGTGTTGGGGATAAGCTCCTCTTCGTCATCATCGGAGTTGTTTAAGGTAGGGGTTTGGTTTAAAAATAGATTATGCTTCAAGAACTCATAATCCTCCTCATTGAACTTTGAATTCATATCAAAATAGATCTGGAAATGAAACACCACCAATTTACGAATTTTGGGTAGAAATTTTTTCAAAAACAAAAAAAATCTAAGCTTTTCTAACAATGAAACACAAAGACGAAGCAAAGATTTAGTTGCAAGCCGGATCTCACTATTCCGGCATCATAGATCTAGGTTTTGAAGGATACCAAATAATTTTAAAAAGCGAAAAACAGAGAACGGAAATGGAAGAGGGGGTGCTTGAGTTTGGATGGGGTTTTCAGAGAAGAAAAAAAATGCCAAGCATGGAGAAGAAGGAGCCTCGGTTGTAACGGAGGAAGAAGAGAAGCCAAAATGGAAGAGAGAGAGGCAGTACCATTTTAGGAGAGAGAGGCAGTAAGAGGAGATTAGGGGGAAAAATAGGCTGAGGCTTTAAGGTTTTAATTGGGCTAAATGAGGTTAGGTAGTCAGTAAGTAATATGGGAACATGGCCCAAAATAGAATGGGGCAAAAAATAAAGGACTACTCTAAATGGCAAATGGGGCAAAATATAAGGGACGGAGGGAGTAATAAATTTCCCATAGATTAAAAATTACCTTAGAAAGTTAATTCCCATCGCAATCAAACAAAGCTTGAGTACAAAGAGTCAAAGATTAAGAATGGTCCTTATTTTGATTAAGTTTCTTTCTCTTTAGTGTACTCCCTTCGTTTATAGAGGTAATAGTCTATTTAAAGTACTTGTACTATTTATCAAAAAAATTAATAAAATTAATTGTACTTCGTAACTAAGTAAGGGACGGATGTGAGAAAAAAAAAATACTATAGTACAATTTTTTTTTTTTTTTGAAATAAAAGAATTGATGAGACTGATGACCATGTAAGGAGAGAAACAAAATTTAAAAATATCGGACAAAATATTCAAAAAAGAATGTGATGTACTCCCTTCGTTTCGTAATAATCGCAATATTTTCCTTTTACATATGTTTCATAATAATTGCAATAATTTCACATTTAGAAAGGATCCACTATTATTTTACGGAGTATTATCTCTCTCCCACTAACTTCATTTTCACAAATATTTTATTATTTCTCTCTTCCATTGACTTCAGTTACATTACTTTTTATTATTTCTCTTTCCTACGGAGTACTAACTATATTGTATATATATTATAAATAATTTTTTTTGGTCCCCATCTTGTAATTTTCATAAAACTACGTATATACCCTAATGTTGCGATTATTACGAAATAAAAGGAGTATTTGAAATTTTGAATAAAAACGACCAATTTGGAAAAGTGAAACCTAACATTTGCAAAAAATACATAGGGGTACCTTAATGTAGTGTGCCAAACCTAACATTTGCTTGTGAATTAAAGAAGGTGGATGTTAAGAGTAGATTCATTGATTTGCAATTAATGAAGCTCCTTTTTTTATTTTATTTTATTTTTTTTTCAAAACGCAATAAATGATACATTAATATAGGATACTCAGTTCTTAACAAAAAAAAAAAAAAAGGATACTCAGTTTATTCAAAAAATAAATAAATATAGGATACTCAGTATAATTAAATGAAACGGCATTAAACAAGGTTTGGATAATTGAATTATTTTGCTGATTCTTTACAAATGAACAGAAAAAATGAATGTGGGCACACATTCTAATCAAAAATCTTCTACGTATTTCAAACGATAAAAAATTAGGCACTAAAACAATACTATTAGGTGGATAAAATAAAATAATACGGAAATATTCCCTTCGTTACGTACTTACGTGTGTCATTTTCTCGTTTCCTTTTAATTGTTAGTTCACGTTTTAATTATTTTCTAGATTAATATAAAATTATAAATATCTTCTACACATTTTCCCTCATTCATACCTACTTCCAATGTATTTATAATCTATTTTCATTTACTAAAATAATTACCTGATTCAAATGTACCTATTCATATTTACATTAATATTTACCTATTTTCAACATTGAATTAACGTCTTATTGTTTGATATTGTGATATATAATTATTGCTTTCCATCGTTTTAATTTCTTTAATAACGCATAAAATAACCAAATGCAACTTTCTTTAAGAAATGTAGAGAGTACTTCATAAAAAATTGAGAATAACTGAGTGTCAATTATATTGATTTACCTGTGTTTTTGTTATAAATTTTCAAATTGTTTCTAGTAATTTTTTTGTACGTTGAAAGTGTTGTCAATTTTAGAAATGGGAATCCAAAAAGTTCTCAAATGATAATTAAATTAGCCATTGACAGTTTGACACACATTTTAAATGATGTGGTGATGAAGTATAAGAATCTTTCGATTGATAACCTACATTACATGAAATATAAAAAATTTAAAAGGATTGAGGAGGATGAGTCTTTATTCACTTATTTTAAGACTTGAAATTGTGTTTTTTTACCATAAAAAATTCTAAAGGTTTTATTTTACTACCAAATAAAAAAATAAAGTTGGATTTCACCACCATTTAACGGATTTTCTTGGTGGGGTCTACTATGTACACGTGTCACCATATTATTGGGTAAAAAAAACCAAAATAATCCAACAAGCCCCCATCATCAACACACCCTCCCAAACCCTCACCGCTGGATCAGATCCCCAGTCCACTGCTGAACTGATTCCTGAGCCCTATCGCTGCCTCTCCCAGCCCAACCTGATAGAACTTGGACGCACGCGGAAGTTTAATGGACCATAATATCATACAACAATTTTATGATTTCATAAATTTCATCATAAATTGTACAAACATGTTTGTAAGAGCTCATGTCTCTCACTCTCTTGATAGAACCCTTAATTTCTATCAACCATTGGTAGAGCTTATGATTAGCTCACTTCTTACTCATGCACACATAACATATTTATAGTGGTGTTTTTCCCACTTCTAAATTTTTTTATACCTATCTCATATTACATGTATCTAGATTTTTCTACATCACTCATCTTAGATATTTTACAAGATATTTCTAAACCTCTCTTGATTTTCCTACTTTATTCTAGTTTTTTTCTAATCTACACACTAGATATTTCTAGATTAACCTCTAACAATCCCTCTTAATCTTGAAAAATCTTTGTTGAAAAAACTCCATTGATGCTTCTTTCTTCAATGATCTCTAAATTTGATTTTTGAAGTTTTCCTTGTTATGCACGTTGATGCCCATGTCACCAACCATTTCTTGATTTGCTTCATATTCTATATTGTTGATCTTTTATATTGGTACCCATGTTACCAACTATCCCAATTTTATTTCTTCATCACATCTTGTTGATCTTCAATGTTTTGTGTTGGTACCCGTGTTACCAACTTGAACTTGCTCCCCCTAATTGTAATTTTCTCAACTTTTTTGTTGGTACTCATGTTATCAACAATTTTACTTTGTTGGTGCTCATGTCACCAACCATCTCCGCTAATGCTTTTGTCATTAGCAACTCAAATAATATTTATCGAGATGTACTTCAATCTTAGTTTTTCTATCAAAATGTTTTTAACTTAAATTTCTCTTCTGATATTTCTTCAAAAACATTAATCTTCACAAAAACTTACTTTTTTTTTTCCTTTATATCCTCTTCAATGTCAATCTTGAGATTTTTCATATCTCAGTCCTTCGGTCTTTAAATTCTTCGTTCTTCAAATTCTTCGTAATCACGTTCCGGCTCTGATACCATGATAGAATTTGAGCGCATGCAGAAGTTTAATGGACATGAATATCATATAACAAATTAATGATTTCATAAATTTCACCATAAATTGTACAAACATGTTTGTGAGAGCTCATGTTTCTCAATCTCTTGATAGAACCCTTAATTTCTATCAACCATTGGTGGAGCTCATGATTAGCTCACTTCTTACTCATGCACACATAACATATTTATAGTGGTGTTTTTCCCACTTTCTAGATTTTTCTACACTTATCTCATATTACATGTATCTAGATTTTTCTACGTCACTCATCTTAGAAATTTTACAAGATATTTCTAAAACCTCTTTTGATTTTCCTACTTCATTCTAGATTTTTCTAATCTACACATTAGATTTTTCATACCACATCTAGATTTTTCTAGATTAACCTCTAACACAACCCACCACAGACACCCTCTTCCCCACCCCAGCCTCAACCTTACTGCCTCTCCAGCCCATACCATCAAAGGTACCCTCTTCCCCACCCCAACTCCAGCCTAACAACCTCTTCCCCACCTTAGCCTCATGCACGACACCTCTTCCCAATGCTACCCAATCCTTGGTACCCCTTGCCTCTGCCATCCCATGAACAACCCCCTTATTGATATAGTTTTGTGAGTATTTATTTATTTATTTATTTTTAAAGGTAAAATACACGATTGAATAATCCCTTATCGCTATCATTAAAATCTAAAAGTCCACCTATCAAAGGATTGGACTAATAGATTAGAATAAAAAAAGTACAACTAATAAATAAATAAATAAATAAAAATAAAAAAAATTAATCACAAACTAAAGTTTCTCAAGGAAGCTATACAAAAAGCTTCCATAGGAATTAGGAAGCTAAAATAAAGTAAAAAGTACTATAAAATAAAGCAAAGACCCAAAAATAATATGACCCAAGGAAGTTTGCCGACAATTCAAAAACGGAGGTCGAGACGCGAAGACGATGACGGTGGAGGTGGCGGTGGTGGTGGTGGCAGTGAAGGCGACGGAGTCGGCGGAACCAAGGGTTTTCGAATTCCACCGACTTGAACCCTAGATATCCAACCAACCACAAATTGAAGTGGATTGAAGTATAAAAAACGAAATCAAAGGAAAAACCCATAATATCAAAGCCATGCATGATATAAAAAACAAGATTTGAAAAATCTTGTTAAATTTCCAACCCTTTGGTAATCATCCCTTTGAAACTAAAGAGAGGTTAAGATGAAGGGGTTGCTTTGGAGGAGGAGCTGACAACGGCGGAGGCTGCACGGTGGAGCGGCGGAAGCGGTGGTGGAGGAAGTGGCGATGGCGATGGCGATGGCAAAAAGCAAGAATACAAGCTTTAAATCAAGAAAAAAGAAGCCAAGAAAGAGAGCCATGAGAGAAGAGGAGAGAACACAAGAGGGAGATCAGAGGAGAGGATGAGAGAGAAAACAAAGAAGAAAAACAAGAGGTGGTTTTTAGAGACTCTCTAAAAAAAAAAAAACCTGTAATTTGTTTTGTGAGTATATATTGGAATCATTTTAATAAATAGATTATTAAGTTTTCAATTGTTATAATTTAAATTTATTGATAATTAAAGATATTATTAATTAAAAATTTGTGTCGATGTATGTGCCATAAAAAAATAAAAAATAAAGTCTTTACTCCCTCACTGTTTTAATAAGTGTTACACTTACCAAATACAGCTGTGTTTTATAAAGTCTTATACATTACTTAATAATAAACTATTAACCCCACTATATTTCTTTTACCGTTTTAAAATAATTCAACTACCCTACTTACCTCTTATTTTATTTAAATCAATTAAATCACCTAAAACTATGTATCGATAAATACGTAAATGGAGTAGTGAGCCGTATTCCTATTCCAGCATCTCTGATGTAAAAAAAGCAGTTCAAATGCCAAAAATGCCAATAATTACTGCTCTGTAAAAGTTTGAGCTGACATCTAAAAGTGAAAAAAGAGTCGAACCATATTCTAAATTCCAATCACCAAAATGATCCTTCAGCCCAGAAAACCAGTAAAGCAAAATAGTACGGAGTACTTGTTAAAAAAAAAAATAGTACGGAGTAAAATTCTGAGAAAAAATTCTGTGATGGAAGAAAACTCCATTGTAGAGGAGAGAGAAAATCTGATGGTTCCACCAGCAAATGAAGGATTACCAACCTTTAGAAGAGCTCATTTTTTGAAACCCATCTACAATCCAACTAATCAGCTTCTCCCAAAACACCCTTCTATTTGTCTTCCTTTAAATACCAAGACAAAAAAGCTGAAAGAAAGAGTTGTTTTCAAGGGTAGGTTAAAACCCCATAAGTCATGGAGTATTTGGGTTGAAAATCTGCAGAAAACCCATGAATTAAGTTGGAAAAGAGCTGGAATATATGACGCAATTAGATGTTCAACTTATGAAATTAAGGAGGATAATGAGTTAATCATTGGATTAGTTGAAAAATGGTGCCCTGATACTAATACTTTTGTTTTTCCTTGGGGTGAAGCAAGTATAACTTTGGAGGATGTTATGATCCTAGGAGGGTTCTCAGTTTTCGGGTTTTCAGTCCTCGAAAACTCGTGTAATATTGCAGATGATCATAACATTGTGAAGAAGCTGAATGATGCTTGTGCAAAGATCAAGAAAGATACTAATGTGTCTAATGTTAGTCATCTTGAATGGATGAATTACTTTAAGGGTTATGGTGGTGAAATGGAAAATGTGGCATTGATTGTTTTATGGTTATCGAGGTATGTTTTTTTCTTCCTTTAATGTTAACCGCATTGCTGTTAGTCTTGCTAGAGGTACTCGAATCGCGCTTGCTCCTGCTGTGTTAGCTTTAATTTATAGAGATTTGAGTTTGTTGAAGAAGAAGATATTAAGTTTAAACTGTGAAGATGGTCAAGGTGATGGTTCAAAGCTTGTTCTTTGGGCACCCTTTCAATTGATTCAGGTTTGGGCTTGGGAGAGGTTTCGGACATTAGGGCCTAAACCCGAACCCCTTGTTCATGGTGAGCCGAGATTGGCTCGTTGGCACGGAGTGAATGGTGTGAGAAATAGGAGGTTGAGGGTTGAAATTGAGTCTGCCGGAGGTGAGTTTTTGTGGAGGCCTTATGCTTTGTATGTAAGAAATTGGGAATTTCCTAAGTTTTATTGTGATGAGGAAATGTGGGTGTTGGTGGATTCTGAGGTGGATGAGGAATTATTGTCATTTGGGGTGTGTTTGAGGGTGTGTGAGTTGGTGGGTGTGAATTGTGTTAAGCAATACCTGCCTCATAGAGTAGCAATGCAATTCGGAATGGATCAAGATATTCCGATTTCCATTCCTAGATTGAATGCTGATGTTGAACTTGCTTGGAGTAGCTATGACAAACCGCTTCATGGTTTGAAATTCTATATACCTCCTCGATTGCTTGAAGGAGATATTACCATTCAGTATTCTAATTGGTGGAAGACACTAGATTCGCTCCCTGTTGAAAAGCCAATACAGAGGAATAGAAAGACGAAGGTGAAGAAATTATCTCAAATTCTACAGGGAAGTAAGGAAGGGAATTGCAAGGAGGCTCCTCTTCCTTCATCCTCCCCATGTACTAAGGCTGTTGAGTTGGATTGCTTAGGCAATAGCAGGGAAATGCCAAATGAAAAATTACCATCTTCTGTAAAAAGTAAGGGAGTGCAGGATATTGTGATTGATTTGCTGTTGGGGCTAGATGACAACAGAAAGAATGAATCGAATGCTATAGAGCAAGACAGGGAAAAAGAAGTGAATGAATCGAATGCTATAGAGGAAGACAGGGAAAAAGAAGTGAATGAATCGAATGCTATAGAAGAAGACAGGGAAAAAGAAGTGAATGAATCGAATGCTATAGAAGAAGACAGGGAAAAAGAAGTGAATGAATTAAATGCTATAGAGGAAGAGAGGCAAAAAGAATTGTATCAGAGTGATGGTAACCTGGGTGTGGACAGCAAGTATTCAGAGAGTACTCAATCTCAAAATGAAATTCCTGTTGGTTCATCTTCCCAATGTAATGTGGAGATGTACGTAGATTTTGCTGGGAGTAGCAGTAACAGGCCATGCGGAAAATCAACTTCTTGTGAACATAGAGAGTACTCTGAGGGTGCTTGTTCTCCAAATGAAAAATTGATCGAAGATAAAGGAACCTTTAGTGGAGCAAGGTCGCTGATCAAAACTGAGACGACTCCTTTGTGTGGTGCAATTGCTGAAGATGTACACCAGACAGTTGCAGTAGTTGTCGACATAGAGCAAATGAAGCCTTCACCTGATGATATTGTTAATGTCAGTGATGAAGAAATGGATACAGTTGCAGTAGATGACGACATAAAGCAAATGAAGACTTCACCTGATGTTATTGTTATTGTCGGTGATGAAGAAATGGATGATTATCTTAAATCGTTTGAAGCAAAAAGTCTGGAAATTGATGCTAGGCTAAATAGGATTGAGAAGATAGTTTCTTCCCTATAAGCAGCTAAGAGAAGGTCCATGGTAAGGTGAGATCTTGTGCCGACATTGATGTGTTTATATATACAGGGGCACAGGGCAAAGATGGATGTAGCTTATGTTTAGATAATGATGGTACGGATAGGAATCTGAGCTAGAATTTTTTGTAAAGGCAGTTTTATCATAGTGGCTGGATTGACAAATTAAAGAGTTGAAAAAGAAAGGAGGACAGAAAAATGATATAAACTCTGATCTGGTTTTAGTGTAATCTACTGTACTTTCGACAGATTCAGAAATGTCAATGTAAGTACTCAGTCCATATATATATATAGGCAATGTAGCAGCATGATGAATGCTTAATTACGCTAATCATATAATAATTTACTTATAATATAGCATGTTTGTTTGTCTGTACTGTTTGCAATACAATCTTTACTTGGTTTATTGTATCTTGAAGGTTGTTAGTTAATTCCAATGCTGATATGTTTTTCCCCAAGTATATTAACTTTAGGTTGAACTGATAAAAAAAATTTCTATCGGAAAAGCTGTTACACTAGAGCGAAGAAAATTCATATTGCAGAGAACAGTCCATCTCCGAATTCTCTTTGGGCTATTTCAGAATTTCCCATAGAACAGTCCTTCAATTTGATGGAATTTTTTTTTTTTTCTGCGGTGGCTGAAAAAACCCACTCAGTCACACTGAAATGTTTTTGGCAAAACAATGAACCAATTTTCTGAAATACTGCATCCGCGTTGCTGTCTAGCCTTCTTACTAGTATCATGATTTATGAAGCATCCCATAAGACTTAGCAAGAGGAGTGTCATCTTAGAAGATGTCTTTGCTTCCGGGAGTCTGTTCTGACTTTAGAGCACATCTTCTTGGCAAGGGGATAAATCCGAACATAATTAATGACAAATTGGTTGATAATCATGTTTCCTTGTGAGATTAACTAGAGAATTATTGCTTTTGTGACATACCTGAGGTGCTGCTGCTGCTGTGCAGCATCAGTTATGGCAGGAAATGAATACTAAGTAATTTAGAAGAAAATTACCATTTAAGTTGAGTATACTAAGAAATTCCTACTCTATTTATTTGATTATTAAAACCAAACCAAAATTCCCTTAATAAGGGAGGAAATTTCAACCTTCATGTAGGGAAGGTAGTTTTGTTCATCAAACTTCGTGGCATTCAAAGGCGCGCTGTAATAGGTACTGCTGGTTGATTTTTGGGCGAACTTGTATCTTTCCACCCAGGAATTACAGCAGAGATTTTCTTGTCCATCATATTAGCAATCTTGAGTTCATCACCATGATTTAAATCCAGCTCGTTCACCATCTCATTTGCAACACTCTTCGCGGTGTCAAACATGATGTGGAATGGAAAGTGGACACTATAACCTGTAGTTCCATAGATTGAAGCACATAAAACAAACAATTAGTTACATAAAACGATATAATCTCATGATTAAATTTTATATCCAATTAGATACACAATACAAATATTTATAAATTAAAAGCACACGAATGAAGGTGTCTCCATATAAGAAATTTTGAGTCATTTCATATTCCACATATTAAAAAATTTTATGTACACGTGACAATCCGCGAATTAAATCCATGAAGTGCTCTCAAGATTGGATGATGATATTCCTTAAGTAAAACAACATAGAATTGAATGCAATAAGAAGTAATATGATGCATAATAACATAATATAAAAGGGTATAACCCAAGATTAAGAAAAATACCTCTGTTGTTGTTCTGATTGGAGATCCTTAACTTGAGAAAGACGACGGTTTTATCATCAGCAAACGTAGTACTAGACATTGTCATGTAATTTTCTTTAGTAATAGGAATTGCCATATTATTCACTGTAATTTGTTTTGGAATGATGTTGATGATTATAATTTCTGAGCGTTTGATTTTTGCGTGATAATCTCATCAGCTGTTTAAATAGAGATCTAGCTATAGCTTATGGGCTGGTACCCTCTTTGAAAAAGTCCTCTACCTTAAGGTATATATAAGAATTTTCACCCAAGGCATGCTTATTGCTACATAAAAATTTAGTGTAGGTGCTCTCTAATCCTACTTTCGAGGAGTTTAGAGTGTAACGTGAATATCTAATATGAAATTAATTCGGAGCAAAGAGAATATCACAAACGGAGTAAAAATGTAGAATATATTATTCCTATTGTATCTCATCGATATGACTATTTTTTTATTCTTATTGCAAACGAAGTATAAGTATTAAATTCCCTCAAAAAAAAAATGTATAAGAATTAGATGTGCGTAATAATATACGTAATGCTAGTCTAGAATATTATTCCGTACTTGCCAACTTGCCATTTGTAAATTGAAAAGTTGAAACTTAGCTAAAACATATACGAGTACATAACTTGTTTACTAAATAGTATTTTAGGCAGGCAAATATGAACTTTAAATTTGGTCCTTCTGTATTAAGTATGCAGACCGACCAATGTTCAAATCCAATTTTTGCACAACCTTTGATGTATTTGGAAATATTTTTCTAAAGAATTTTTGGACTTTAAATTTATATTTATCATTGTATTCCGTATGTTTGTATCACTTTTTTATTTCACTTGAATCATTTCAAATTATACGAATGGAGAAATGACTTTTACACGATTGAAATTTAATTTAGCATTCTTACTATTGTATTGAAAATAAAACAAATGAACAAGCAAAGGTTTGTTTCCCCTTTCATTGTGTGATGATCATTATAAAAATTATGCGTAAATGTTTCCAATTTTAGCCCAAAATATCACTTTTTAATGCCCTGCACTCTTACTGTAGAACTGGACTTCATTTTTAGAGTGTCAATTTTCAAAGCACGCCAAACTTGCAGTAAAATAAATGCACATACAAAAGCAAATGAACCCAACAAAATTGAAAAAAAAAAATAAACCCAGAACTTCACAAACCCAGAAAATTAGCAGAAAAAAAGATGATGATTTTGGAAAGAGAAGAGTTAATGGTTAGACCAAATGGAGGAATTCCAACATTTAGAAAATCCCATTTCCTTAAACCCTTCTTAAACTCCACTAATCAACAACCTTCTCTCTCTAAACCCCCTTCTCTCTCTCTCTTCAAACCCTAAAATCATTCAAGATGTCACAAAATAGGTGTCTTTCAAAGGTACTCCAAATCCACGAAGGTTATGGAAGTCATGGATTGATGAATTACAACCAACCCATCAAAGCATTTGAAGAAAGTTGGGATCTTTGATGCTATCGCGTCGTCGGATTATTACATTAAGAAGGATAATGAGCTGATCATAAGTTTAGCTGAGAAATGGTGCCCAGAAACTAACAGATTTATCTTTTCTTGGGGTGAATGTACCATTACTTTGGAGGATGTTATGATTTTGGATGGATTTCCTATTTTGGGTGTTTCTGTTCTTGCCCCTTCTAAAAATAGAAATTTTGATGATATTGAGGCTAGTTTGGTCCATTTATGTTCTGAAATTATGAGTAATTCTAATAATCTTGTGACTCATTTAGGTTGGATGAGGTATTTCAAGGGTAGAGGTGGTCATTTGGAGCATGTTGCATTTCTTGTATTGTGGTTGTCTAGGTATGTTTTTCCTTCAAATGGGTACAATACTATTGCTCCTAATTTATTTTCAATTGCAATTAGTTTAGCAAATGGTACCAGATTGCTTTAGCTCATGCTGTTTTAGCTTCGATTTATCGTGACTTGAGTTTGTTAAATGAAAAAATTGTTAGTTTCATATCAGATGATGGTGAAAATGGTAGTACAACTCTTGTTCTTACTGCACCATTATATTTAGTCCATGTATGGGCTTGGGAGAGGTTTACTAGATTAGGTAAAAACCCGAAGTTTCTTGCTCGTGAAGAGCCGAGATTGGCTCGTTGGCACGGTTCAAAGAAATTGAAATATGGGCTGCAGGATGTGGAGTCATTTGGGGATGACTTTCTGTGGCGGCCTTATGCTTTGAATGTGAAGAATTGGGAAGTTCCTAAGTTTTATTGTGATCAAGGAATGTGGTTGTTGGTAAATTCTGCTATGGATGAGCAACTATTGTCATTTACAAGGTGTTTGATGGCTTGTGATTTGATAGGTGTGGATTGTATGGAGCTATATCCTCCACATAGAGTAGGGATGCAATTCGCAATGGATCAAGATTCCCGATCCCATTCTTAGATTGAATGATGATCTAGAACTTGCTTTGAGTAGCTATGAAAAATCGTTTGATGGTTTGAAGCTTTATATACCTCCTCGATGGGTCGAGGGGGATGTTACAATCAAGTATTATGATTGGTGGAGGTCAACATTGTGCCTGCGTGATCATGAATCATTGACCATCCATGACAGACAGAGGAGAAGCCTAGGAAAAGTGGTTGAGGTGTCCGGAGTACATGTTTGTTCTACTCCATGTAATGATGCTATGGTTTTAGTTTCGACTGGCAGCAGAAAGGAGATACCAAATGAAAATCCATCTTATATTCCGGGAATTGCAATCCAAAATCCTTCCAAAGTTCCAATGTGCCTGATAAAAACAAGCAAATAAGTACAATAGATTTGATAGTGTGGTCAGAGGAAACTGTAAAATGTGAGCACAATATTGTGGAGGAAGGCGAATAAAATGGGATGTGTAAGAGCAAATTGGACGCAAATGAAAAGAGCAATCTGCATATGGAGTGCATTCATTTGCAGAATGACTCATTAGCTGAAGATCAGGAAACCTTAAATAGGGAAGAAACATTGCTTGACACTACATTGAACACGATATGCTACACTTTTACTAAAGATGAACATGCTGAAGCAGCAAATCACAGTACAGACATCAAGCAAGGCAACTCTGCAGCTGTTGCTTTTCTGAATATCAGTGATGGGGAAGAAAATGAAGAAGATAATGGTAGTCGCAACCCTTTTGAGGAATTACTTCCTGAGTTTGAAGCCAGGATTAGTAGGCTTGAAAGGACAGTTTCCGCTCTCAAAACAGCCAAGTTTGGGTCTTCAATGAGGTAGTATATCTACTCATTTGAACTAACATTGATGTATATTTGAATGTAAAGAACAAGATTAGATTCAGCAAAATTGGCTCGGGTTTAGATGCTTTGAATGTATTGTGTGACACGAATCATCGCGATGTTGGTTGTATTAGATCACTGTTACCGTATCTGATTTTACCTATATGCATTAACTTAGAAGTTACAGCGAAAAAATCTTGCATATATACTCGCTTCTTTACTGTGTTCATGTCAGGCCCTGCTTCTGTAATACTCACCGAAACTTGTGGTCAGAGTTCGTTTAAGGTTCTCATGCAGACATGCAGTAGTGAATTATAACTAATTTTGCCTGATAAAGAAAGAATGGTCTAATAACTCATGCAAGTCATACTTCATGTAATTTTAAATTATTTTATGACTGCTAATTTCATATGAACCTTAGCATTTATTTGAGGAAATGAACCTTGGCATTTGAAGTGTATTGGATCATTATATTAATGCTTGGACCCTCTCTAGATACATTGATAATTTTGGAGGATGCATTCATCTCAATGATAGTTTACTAGTTTCAAGCTGCAATACAACTATTCCTAAGTTTTTACTCATGCATGCCTTGCAAACGGGAATATATATCATTTTGCTGTTAAAAATGTTTCAGGAGGATCTCAATTGAAATCTCAGTTAAAAATCATGTCAGCAGATCGAAACTTGTAAACCGTCTCTATGTTGTATCTCACTGTTGATCTCTGGCTTCTTCCCTGTTAGCGAATCATCTACTGATGGCATATTGTTTTGTGTTTTGATCCTTGATAACTTTCAGCTGTTTTTTGTCATTCTTACCTGCCTCATATTGTGCAAGTACAACAATCTCCAAGCCTATGAATAATCAAGTCATTGTTATATGTAAGCTCTTAGCAGGATTAAGATTAACATTCATTTCAGTTTTAAATGAAGTGGCCAATATTCATATTCAGGCCCTGACTTACTCTGAAACTAGATTTGGATTTTGGAGTATATTTGCAACAAATTACCAGTTTTAACCTCATCTTTAAGTAGTAATCTGTATTTAATTCTTGGCCACTAATGTGTTTCTTTTATACAACATTGCCCATTAATGTTATTGAGTATGTTCATTTACTTATGTATATGACAAAGTTTCTGCTCAAATGTTATACATAATGGTGCTGGTGCCTAGATACTACCTCCCTTTCGTATTATCAGCAACAATTTCTCAAAACGGTAGCTACACATTATGCAACAAAAAAAACTTCCCTAATATAGTAAATTTTTTTGTATGAATTTACATTTATACCCTTACTAAATCTTTTTAAGCAGCACTTAAATTTCTTAATCAGATTTGATTAAATTAATAATGTAATTGAATTATTGTAATCTCTCCCACCAAAATTAAATCAACTCCTAACTACTCTCCTTTAATTCTTGCATCCCCAATTAAATCATCAACCACCTTCATCATTCATCAAACATACCCAGAAACCCTAACCCTCGTTCTTCCCTATTTCACGCCCCTCTTTCTCTCTCTTCACTCCATTTCCTCCATCTACTCCTTCAATTTCTGAAATTCGCACCTCTTGGATCCTTCAGATCTATTGTATCTTCTTCTTCTTCTTTTTTTTTTCATAAGATCTAAACGATCTATCAATGGAGTACGTCCCGAAATATCGTTGATTTGACCCCCTTAGAAAAGGTTTTCTACGCAACCACCGACGAGAAGGAGCTTGATGTTCTTTCTGATCTTATCATGTTCCTTGAGAAGGAGTCTTCTTCGCCTCGTCGATTTTACGAATCTGGTGAAGCTCGAAAGGTGTTGTCTGATGGTGGGTTTGAAGCTCTTGGAAGGGTCCTCAATTCAAACCATGCCCATGGTGAAACTGACACGCCCTACATTCAAACCACGCAGAATCGGCAGATGTGAGTTTATGAGGAAGATTGGTGGGAGGGGGGTTAAGATAACTGACCTAATTGAAGAAGAGGAAAAAGCGAAGTGGGGTGATGGAGGGTCAAAAGACAGTGTAAAAGGGAAGGAAAAAAAGTGAGGCGGAGCCTGAGAAGGTGGAAGGCAAAGCTGAGGAAGAAGAGGAATGGTGGGGTTGTACCATGGCTAATCCTCCACCCAAAATGTATTTCCCTTTTGAAGAAGCAAAAGTTGGGAACAAACGGGTCAGATCTGAGTGACTGCCAGCGTAACATTCTCTATCCCCTAACTTCATTTGCAATTCTGATACTTTATGAATCCCTGTTGTTGCATAAGTCCCTGTTTTGGTAATTTTTGGTTCATGCTAATATACCGAGTCCTTGATGATGCTGTGATTGATGAACTTGGGGATTGTTGTTATGTTGTTGTTCCTCTACCTATAATTGCTGCTATGCTTTGTGTAGTGTACCTATCTATTGGAGATCATATTTTTATGATGAACTTGGGAATTGTTGTTATGTTGTTGTTCCTTTACCTATAATTGCTACTATGCTTTGTGTTGTGTACCTATGTATTGGAGATCATATTTTTATGATGAACTTGGGATTGTTGTTATGTTGTTCCTCTGCCTATAATTGATGCATTGCTTTGTGTTGTGTACCTCTGTGATGGTGATCTTATTGTATACATGAACTGATTATGTGATGTGAGTCCCTGTTTTGATTAGATTGTATCAATTTGGTAAGCTTCAATGATGACTTAATGGGGTTGCTGATTGTTGGATGATGATTGTATGAATTTTGTTGTTGGTTGATGTCCTAAATTGAGTCCTTATTTGATCTCAATGACCAATGTGGAGAGATCATTTTTGTTGTTGGTTGATGTCCTAAATTGAGTCCCAATTTGATCTCAATGACCATTTTTGAGAGATCATAAACCAACCTAAATTCCATATGATGAAGGGACTCTTTTGGTAAACAAAGAAATGTTTGAATTGCTCAACTATTTGGTTTGTTTATTTTAGAATCAAATAGTGTTGAGGTAACAAACATGGTTCTTTTGTGTTGATGACAAAAAACCTTCTGATGTTCTTTTTTACATTTGAGAACCTAAAGGAAGGAGTTGTGGGTGCTTTTGTTGTTGTAATATAGATTAGCAAAATTAACATCATTGTTCCATTCAATTAACAAAAGGTTTCATACCATCCATACATAATAGAGAGTCCCACAAAAGTTGCACATAACCATACATATAGAGTCCGATACATCACATTATGGTTATGTGTGGCAGTCTAGATCTATATCTAGGTCCTAATGACCGCCCAAAAACAAACTTACACCCAAAAGGAAAAGAAAAGAAAAAAAAATTATGTCACCTATTTTAAGCATGAGCTGATTATGTGATGTGAGTCCCTTTTTTTTAGCTTCTTTTCAACCAGCATCTACTTCCATTTCAACATCTTTTTCTGCTTGAACCTAGTTCACTAGTCTGAACTTGTCATTAAGGTGGTTCATTGCTTGAGCTACCAACTCAGGGCTAAATGTGAGCCTCTCAGGCAGAATTCCTTGCTTCTCCAAACTTCTCTTCTTCATATGGGTTGGAGTGAAGTTGTTGTCTTCCATCATTTTTAGTATTTCAGTCATACATGACTGTAATGTGATCCATGTGAATTTGTTTGAAATTGGGTCAAATGTATTGTATGCCTCTTCAACCACTTTCACTAACTCCTCAACATTTTTGGGGAAGGACTGATATTGAATTGACTGCATAACTATGAACAGCCCTAAGTCCAGCACATTTAGGTCTGGAGATTGTGGGGGCTGGTACACCATCTTGATGTTGAAACCATTTTGTGTACAAGCTGCCACAAACTCTGGATCAGTTGGAATTTTATGGGGTCTTGCATTATCCCATTGTATGAAAATGTCCTTAGACAAATGTGCTGGCCAATTCTCTATAATGCATGGAATGACCTTATTAATCAACATGTCTTTGATCACATCCTTAGTTACAGATTGCAATGCTTTAATCTCCATTGTTCCTGCTGGTATGTTCTTGCTGGATTTCTTTACCCTTTGCTCATAAACAAAGCCAAATATTTCATACTTGTCATCATGGATCATTTCCCCATTTGTGTTGTGTTGTGGCTTTGCTATCATGGCCATGAACATTGCCTTAACCTTAAACCTCCTTGACTGCTCACACCTATAAGGGTTTTCTTCATTGGGAAAAAGATAAAACCTTCTTGTCTCTGGGTTCAAATAGAGTCATTTCTCATCAATGTGAACGACATTGCTCATGTCAATGTACATTGGGTCCTCTGTCTCAGTGGCAGGGGTGAGGTGTGACAACACCCATCTCAGTCTCTCTATCTTGTGATTATCAGTTAGCTTTGGGTGGTTGGTGCTTGTATGAGTTCTGAGCAACCCCTTTTTCTTCGGTCTGTGTATTGTAACATGAGAAATTTTTAAAGCACCTGCATAACTTCTTTTTGTGGTTCTCAATCTAAGTGGGATTGATAGGAGAAATTCTTCAGAATATTCTTTGCATTTGGGACCAACTTTGCCAAGTTTTTTATTCCTGACATCAATCAGCCCCTCACTCTGTTTTTGCTTCATTACATCATTGAATATTCTGCTTACTGGTTGATCTATGCACCCCAAATTTTGCTACAATTTTGGTTTGCATCCCTCGTTCTAATGTATCATCCTCCCTAAGTTGTATTAGAATTTCATCAACAATACCTCGTTTTTCGGCAAGAGTAAGTTGTGTTCTGTCACTTTGTTGCTGACCATTAACTCCATTCTCATTTGATTCAGCATTTTGTTGGAGGAGATGTTCCTCCATTAAAAGTTGATCCATGCTGAAAGAATCATCACCATACCCTTCTTCCATTTTGTTTTTTTTTTTTTTTTAGGTTTCAGATTGTGCTGTGAGAGAGGAGCTGCCTACCACTAACTAATGCTGATGCTGCAACTTTTTGGAAGCTGGTGGATGTAGATGATGATGCTTGAAGCCTTGACTTTTTGGAAGCTTGAATTGCTGACTTTATTAATTTAGGATTTTAGATGTTTCATTAAGAGGGCTATATTTAATGGTGGTCTGTAATTTTTTGAACATAAATGGTGGAGTAGTAAATGTTGTATTTTTAACTTAGGCTGAAACAAAAAAACAGGGAGCCAAATTTGAATTTTGGGGGAAGTTGAAAATTTTAAATTTGGAGGCCAAATTTAAATTTTCCACGAAAATTTTCCCTCCTTTAGCTGTAAAAAGACTGTCAGCAGCATGTGGGGTTAAATATTTGGTCCCCACTTTCTCTCTCATGAAATTTTAATCACTTACCCTTACTTTTGCTAATATGCTTTTACCAAATTTTGTCTTGGGGTGTGTGAATCTAAGTTTGTTGCTGATTTTATGAAACGGAGGTAGTATAACAGAAACATTGGATAGAACATCAATATTCTGTAGTCCGTACAAATTTTAAAATTTATTTGGTAACCCTTATTCGAGGAAAACTAATTATTTTTTGTGAAAATGAAAATAATGTGAACAAAATAAGCCCTTGATAAAGTTTGACAGGTTTCATTTTATTATTAAAAAATAAAAATAAATAAAAAAACCTTGGCCAATGGACCACATTGGTATAAAAATTAGCAACCTATTGACGACTTAAAAATATAGCAGTAAGCGGCAACATTGTAATACTTAGTGATACACGATTATAGCAACTTGACTGGGTAGTTTTTTTTTTTTTTTTTTCTTTTCTTTTCTTTTCTTTTTGAATAATAGTATTATACTAGAAAGAAAATACATAAGGTATAAATAATTTACTTAAAAATTTTGCAAAAAAAAAAGAAAAAAAAAAATATTCAAGTAAAAAAGGCGGGAAAATTTTTTCACAAGGTAATAACAAGTGTCATGGAAAAATTTGCTTTTAGTATTGGTTAATAGATACTCCGTACTTCGTATTATTTGGCTAGTGAGCATAATAGCTATATGTCAGTTTCCTTCTTTGGCTTTGTTTATTCCATGTTCATAAACAAAGCTTAGTGTACTAATATTAATGGAAACTGACATTATTCCATGTTCATAAACAAAGCTAGTGAGCTCAGATCCATCTCCCATAAATTTGCAAGCTTCTTTACATAAGCTGAATTTGGATATTTTTGGGGAGGGGGGGGGGGTTTGAAGACGACGACGCAAATTGATTGCCGGTGGTAGTTATTGTTGATTTAAATACTGTAATTGTTAATTTTTATACCGTTATTGTTGATTTGTATACTGTTATTGTTGATTAGTATACAATTGATGCATATCCGATTGTCGGTGGTAGTTATTGTTGTAGATGATGACGCAAATTGATTGTCGGTGGTAGTTATTGTTGATTTTAATACTGTTATTGATTGTATACTGTTATTTTTTATTTGTATACTGTTATTTTTTGAAAAGAAAGTTTTTTTTTACATCGTAGTAATTACTATCAATGCTTTTGTGTGAAATTACATTTTTACCCTCGGTATCGTCGCTTCTTGGTAGTGGGCTATCACGGCTCAACTTGAAACTTGAGAGTGGGGTTCTTTACCCTTCCTCCCAGTCTAGGGGAGTCTAATCGGGTGGTTGTCTAAAGGTATAATAACTAATAACTATTATAAATTTATAAATCTATCACAATACCAAATAAACACATTCTTGTATCAAAATCAAAAATTTTGGTACCAACTCCGAGTAGAATTTAGGCTTTGTGTTTTTTTAGGGTACCAACTTTGGGTAAAAAAAAATGTGCTATAGATCTATTACAGACACAATTAGGTGCCTCTCTCTACCCGGGTCTAGCTCGCTAACTTGAGGTTGGTTAATAATGAGAAAATTTGGTATAAATAGAGTGAATTTTTTTTTTTTTTTTTTAATTTTATATAAATTGCTCAAAAATAATTAAATTTCATAATTAAGGCACATTTTATCAATATTTTGGTTTTATTGTCCACATCAACACAAATTTTTTTTTCTTGGTTCACACTAAAACCGCTAATTGAATTAACGATTTTACTCTTTATGAAATCGCTAATTTTTAATTAGCGGTTTCACTCTTAATGAATCTACTAATTTAATTAGCGGTTTATGAAGAGTAAGGATACTTAATTGAATTTTGGTATAAGTGTATTAAATTCAGGATCCTAAACCGAATTTATTTAGTTGCGGTTTTCTGTTTTTTGGTTTTTTTTGTTTTTCAAAATCATATGATATACTTCCTCTGTTCCACAAATACTGCAACAAAGATGAAATTACGCATCCCAAAATACATTTTATATGTTAAATATCTATAATTATATAAGAGTATTTTATTGTGGATGCGACACGTGTAGTTTTGGAATAATTCTAGTGATTACTTTAATATTTTGTATATAATACTAGATAATGTCTGAGCATTGCTCGGGTTTTAAAATTAGTACGGAAAAGTAATTGAAATATAGAAGTCTCTCTCTATATATACATATATTTTTTGACGAAAAAGTCTCTATATAAATGTCTCTATAGAAGTCTTTATTGACGAAAAATGTCTCTATTTATATAGAATTCTCTATATAAATGTAAGTCACCTTATATATATATATATATATATATATATATATATATATATATATATATATAAAGGGTAACAATATATGTAGCCCTTAGGGCTAAATATATGTATATATATAAGCATTAAAGCCGATCGGTGTAATTAATGTTACTTTATCCTCAATATTAAGGGCTATATTTATCATATTTCATAAAAATATAAAAATAAAAAAGAGTTAAAGAGGAAAATTCCCTCCAAGAAAATTATGTGTCAGTAATTAGACCCAAAAAAAAAAACCAAAAATAAATACCGTAAATAAATAAGGGCTCAGATTCAAAGGGCTAAAATGAAAGGACAAGATTAAAACCTAGGATGATTGACTCCCCTTTAAAAACCACTGTACGGACTATGGAGTAATAATACGGAGTAGGAAGGTAAATCGGTAAACAGGACAGAGGAATTGAGCTGTAGTAAGATTGCCAGAAGAATAAGGTACGGAGTATTTTTTTTTTTTTTTTTTTTTTACAAGAACAAAGTAATTACTGTAGTTGATTAAAAACGTTGATTTATACAAGTACGGAGTATTTCAAATTCATTTGCTAATTTTATGATTAGTTGGATATTATTCCGTATTATTATATAATATTTTTTGGGTTACTGTGGATTAATGGAAATGAAGGTGATCTTCCAAAATGTTGAATGAAATTTTTTTTTTTTTTTTAAAAAAAAAAGTGTTTGGAAATGAAATACTTGTAAGTACAAGATTATACATATTTGGGTTGCTGGGTTTAGATTATAATTGAATTTAAGTGGAATTTTTTTTTAGTTTATCAAGTGGGAAATTGATTTAACATTGGTGATGAAAAAAGGGTATTAACTCATTGAACTCTGAAGATTAAATTGAGTGTACAAAGATATACAAATTGGGGAATGTGTAATCTGGGTGTTCATTAATTAGGGTATATGTATTTGATAATATATATCAATATTTATGTGTAAGATTCAATAATGTGAACATCTATTCTGTGATATTTTTATGCTATGGAAATGAGCTGATGTTGCCTGTGTTTATGTTGGGTGTGGGTTATTCAGGAAGTGTGGATAAGGAAGAGGATTACAATGGAGACCGATTCGAGGAATCATGGATTAATGGAGAGTGGTACGAGGAAATGTGAATCATCGATGAGTGGTGCTACGAAACTTGGATTGATGGAGAGTGGTACAGAGAAATGTAAATTAATTGGAAGCGGTAAGAGGAAACGCGGGCGGCCAAGAGGGAGTAAGAATAGAGTATTCAGTGAAAAGAGGTTTGAGTTTGAGTATCAACAAGAGGATACCAGAGATCATATGATGGATGAGGTAACAAGTGTTTAGTGTGTAAATTGTGCTTGTTATGGTCGAATTATTATGAATTTTGTGCATTTATTTACGTCTTAATTGTATTGATATGAGGATTGTGAATGGGACAGGAAATGTAAGTACTTTATTGAATTGTATATCTTACATATATGCCTCTTTTGTAGGTTTTGAGTTATGGTAGTGAACTAGAAAGAAATGGTTTCCATGTCCTTTCTCTAGCTTTGTCACTTCAGATTGTGCTTTTATATTTACTGACTATTGCAAATTTGAAGTGGTTAAAAATCCATTAGTAACGATCTTTCTATTTTTGTTTGATGGTAATGGTGAATTGTTTATAGCTTTTGATTTACCTAATTTCATCATTCATTTGTTAATTTACTTGCTGTTGATATAAATGTATGCTTGTTTTCAAAAAATAAGTTGAGCTTGTTATGAGATGCAGCAAAACAGTAAAAGCAGAGGTGATCAGGTCAAAGAAGCTGCTCAAGTGCTGAAGGTGCGTTTGAAGGATTATGGGAACTCTGTAAGTGCAAGACTTTAAAATCACATCATTTATTGTGGGAAGAGGGTGAATTTATGATTTACCATTATTTGGGTACTTACTATCTATTTTTTTCTTTGGCTGTATATGAAGCATCTGAGGGTTCATTGTCATGTTAAAGCATTTGGGAAAATATGCAAGTCCTTTGATGAACGAAGGAAGAAGTGGGTGAGACAAATGGGGTTTGGAGGGTTGCTTTTTCTGATGGACAGCTGGCTTCCGATGAACCTTTGCTATTGGTTGATGACCAGGATGGATCCCATTAATCAGCTTTTGATAGCCCCAGATGGACATGAGTACAAACTATTCAAGGATCAAGTGAGGTGGATCCTTGGCATTCCAAATGGCAGTAAGGTTGTTCCTAGGAAGGTGACAAATACAGAAATGAGAAGCAAAGTCAGTGACATTGAGAGGAAATTTGGGAAAGAATGGGCGATTAAGCAGAAAATGAGTGGGAGAGTTAACAAACAGAAGGGAATAGTTATAGATGGTGCCTTGCTTGAAAAAGCGAAGGGCAGTTGGGAAGAAGAGGATGAAGAGGACTTCAAGACTCTTTTCTTGATCTTGGCATTGCATATGATTCTTTGTCCGCCACTATCTTCCCACTTCGATAATGATTTGATGCCTGCATTATCATGTGCTAAGCAAGCATGGAACTATGACTGGTGTGGATTGGTGTTGGAGAAGCTTTTGGACAGTGGCTACAAATTTGGAAACAAGTTCTATGCTGATGGATTTGCAAAAGGATGTGGAGGGTGCAGTATTTTCCTAGCAGTAAGTTGTGTCATTAGTACTACTAAATGGCTGTCGGTGTAGATGGTTCTTTGTTGTTTTCATAATGCCCTAGGCTGATACTTTCTAATTAATGACAAGTGCAGATATTTTACCTAGACCGGTTACATAGAGATCCCGTGATGTGGGGGAAATGGCCGAGAATCAAAGCATGGACAAAGGAGGAGATGGTGAAAGCTGAGATGGAAGATCGAGTTCTGAAGGGGGATTTTGGCAATACAGGGGTAAGTGTGAGTGAACTTTATAGCTTGCTATTGTAACTTCTGGTATGATTTTTGCGAGTTCTAATTGCCTATGAATACTGCGTTTAAGCTCCCTCATGTGGGAAAAACTAAAAAGTGTACATTGGAAATCCTAACGCCATCAATTATTAACATAAGATCCATAATATCTCTGATAATATGCACTAATTTCATCATTAAGATAAGACTATACTTCGTATGCACTTGTGTCCGAAGGTCTGGATTATTTGTGTTGATTACCTTTTCCAAAATAACTGTTTTTGTTTTGAATGAGAATGAAGCTATTTTATGTGACCAATGGGTTTGTCTAGTGCATAGATGTAGCATATGGTGAAGAACACCCTTGGGAGGCTAAGGAGGATGACTTACCATCATTTGCTGAGGAGGTTAGTTTGTTTTTCTTTATGTAGGATACAGCTTGGAAGTGTAGTAGGTTGGTATAACATTGTTTGTATGTACAGGGATTAGGACCTATTCGATCCCAATGGACTCAAGAAGAGGAAGCAAGTTTGGAACGTAGTTATGTAGGTTACAACAGGGAGAAACTGACATCAGAAATGAATCCTGTGCTGTGCAAATTGGTTAGAGATAAAATAGAAGGAAGTCTCCTGGCTAGTGTGCCTAATAAGTTAGCTCAGACTACAGAGGACCCCATTCTTTCCATGGTGGTAAAAGGGGGGCAACCTTCACAATCAGGAGGAAATTCAATGGATGATGATGCTCGGGAAGAGGTGTCACAGCCTCAGAAGGGTCCTACTCTGTCATTGATTGATCATGGTAAGCATAGCTCATGTTGTGCGATTTCATTATTCAATGCTGATGTGAGGCCTATTGAGGAGGGAAAACAAAGTGAGGATTATGAGGAAGATAGTAACAGAGATGGTAGAATTATACCATTGGCTAAAGAGGTCTTAGAGATTACTAAATGTGCAATGGTGATGGAGCCTATGGGTGGAAGCGGTGGAAACATTATGCCATCTCCTACTCCATTTGAAGTGACAATCACATCACATAATTTAGATGGGAGTGCAGATCATAATATCAAAGGGGCTCCTAGCTGTTTAGCTTCCTCGTGTAATGTAGATGTGGATTTAGTGAATGGTTCACTTGATAATCCTGTGATAATCAAGGATGACGAGGCAAGTGAAAAGAAACATTGCGACTTTGACCCCTTCGAAGTGGTTAGTTTTGAACTTGAATGTAGGATAAGTAAGCTTGAGAGTGATATTTCTGGGATGAAAGCAGCTAAGTCAGGGTTCAAAGCAAGGTCTAGGAAGGGATTTGCGCGTCATTAAAGTGGTATAGTCAAGTGTCCTGGTTGTAAGCTTCTGATTCTGCAAGGCAACTGATCAGTGACCAAAAGGAGAAAAGGTAGTTGTTTTGGTAAGCTTCTTCATGTCTAGTTCTGGTTTGTATGTGTTCTGGTTCAAAGCAAGTGTCTCGGTGCTTTTATGACACAACCAACCAGGTGAGAGGAATGAAGGTTTGTTTAAGTTCATTTTCAATTGTATTAGCTTAAAAGCATTTCGTGGGACATGTACATTACTGATAATTAATGCAAAGATCATGAGTTCTTTGCTCCCTTTGTTTCTTTTCTTTAGGTGTTCTGTATAGCTGTTTAAGGGAAAGAAATACCATATCTTGATGACTACTAGACTACGAAAAATAGCAAGAAATACTGCGTACTCCATCTTTTCTTAAAGAAAGGTGAATCTGGTCCATATTTAATGAGTTACAAAGTTGCCAGAGTTTCTTTTTATTTCAGAACAATCATATAGTTTCACTTTTTTCATAAAGGTGCTTCTGATTACTATGCAGAAATGATATGTGGGGTGGATACAATGCTAAATTCTATATTTGATGAATTGCATATCTCAATCATGCAAGATTAAAGTTCAGGATTCTATCAACACCGGCGAAAAATAATAAAAAACTAACTATGAAACACGTACTACCCTACATAGTCGATTGAATCAGCTATACAGTTATCATTCTTGGTTCATGAAGTGTTAGCACCGCAATATATTCTTAGAACATGCAAGTTTGGCATTCTGTTAATTCTATTATAATTCTGTCTCTAGCCATCATACCGATATATCAGGTCCTGGAGGAAGGGTTGCAGCCGGGAGCAATGAAATTTCTGCAAAAGCCCTAGTTTACCTATATGATCTATTATTAAGATCAATTTTATATTTAATTTATTTGAGAGCTACTCATTTTTCGATTCACAATCTCCTTAAAATATCTAACTATGAAGTGAGAACTATTGCAGGTCTGAATGCAGCTCAAAGTGCAGAGTTGCAGTATGGCGTGAAACAATATACGATCCTTCGCAATGATCATAAGACATACTTCGTAAGAAACATCAATGTAGTCGGATAAGGTGCAAGCTAAACTTTTTTATGTTGCAACCTGTGTTTAATTCTAGTTCATAATTTCACCTGCAATGTTGATTTTCCATTGAAGAAGTACAAATAGTACTTTGTAGGTTGAGATACTGTAAAATCAGAAAATAAAGATTGGAATGTGGGCCGAATTTCTTAATGTATGTATAACGCTGTGACGTGTTAGAAACACGGTCTTAGAAGCAAAATTTGCCCCGACTATGGTGCAATCGGAGATGGCGTTGCCCCCCAAGATTTAACACAACGATCTCCCTTAATATGCACTCAAAAAGAGAGATTAGGAAGTCACAATATGCTCAGAACAACTTTAGAGGAAAACTGAAAATAATAGAGGAAGAAGAAGAAAGAGTTTCTGTGTATTTCAAAAGCCACGAAAAGATCAGGTTATAAGGATGAAGAAAATCGTAACTGTTGGAGAGAATCAAGCCACGAAATAATAGTGGAGAAAAATCAGCGACAGTTACAAACGTTTAAAAATAAAAACCGAGTCAAACACAAGCTGGAACGTCAATTACGACTTAGCCCACCACACCGCGCACGTGCCACAAACCAACCCGGCCAGATGGTGGCAACACGCGTGGAGATGCCCCCTTCTAGCCCACAACAATAGGGAAAGCACTTCAAATATCAAAGTATAAACACACATATTTAAACAAAGTAAAATTTAATTCTCTCACCAATGTGGGACAAAATCCCTTTTCTTCCAATATATAAATCAAGTAAAGTCTTCCTTATCCCACCAATGTGAGACAAAGAGTTTTCCTCCAAAACAAATAAAAACTTCCTTAGCATTATTTCCAACACTTAAGTATTGAGTTCAAATGTTTTTCTTAATAGTTTCACTTTTTTCACGAGTCAAATGCGAAAATATTCATTATTGATCAACAAGTTTACATGAAATCTAATCTCTATACATAATTTTATTTGTGTTTGCACTATGTTGTTAATGATCTACAACCTACATGAAAATCTGTCTCAAACTTTAATGCAGTCATCGAATTAACTCGAGTCACTTGTAAATGCTAACATAATGCGGATTAATTGGCCTTTTGAGTGAGGTAAAATTATGTCGAGCATATTGATATTAGCTTCGAGCTTAAGACCCATTGCTCCGGAAGGATGGCAACAACCAGCAACCATAATGCTCTTGATCGCTCATAGAGTCATAGGATCATCATTATAGACTAAATAATTAAATTGATAGGCACTCTGATCAACTGAAAGTGTTAATCGTAGGTCTCAGCAGAGTCTTCATGATCTTCATTCTTGGCGAATGATTCTTTCTGTGTGTAAAAGCCCAACAAATGCTTACTGAAAATACTTCGTATGAATTAGTCGAACTTAGTTGGCTATAGGCCTATAGAGGAGTATAAAATATAGATGGTTGGGTCGATACTACATAATTAATTTATCCTAAGAAAATAGACACTATTCCCTTCGTTTCTAAGTAATTGACAAATTTAACTTTTTTTTTTTTTTGCAATATTTATATACTAACTTTGACCATTGATTTATTTTGATAACGTATAAAAAACATATCATGAACATGAAATATTTTGTTAAATATGTATTAATATAAAGTTTCATAATATCAATTTATAAAATTTTCTAATATTTAATTATATATATTTAATGTCAAACCATTGCATTGCCATATATGTTAAATTTGACTATGTATAAAGGAGAAAATGATTTTGGGCACATTACAAGGAGCAAATGGTTGTGAGAGCTCAATTTTGAATTTTCTATGCTCATTTCACACGGAGATCTGCCAATATCAATAATAGGTGAATCAAAATCAGTTTCCTTATACGATCTAAAATTGTCCAGTGTGCATTTTTAGAGAATTAACTACTTTGTATTATCACCACCATACTTGTCAATTTGTCATGTTAGAATTATTACCTTAATTAGTTACAACATTTTATTCTTTACTTTTTTTATTCAATGATCTACTTTTTCTTTTTCTGTGTTACTCTTTGATTTAGATGAATAATGCCAATTTATTTAATTGGTTGAGAATTTGGGAGATTACATACTCCGATACTCGTATTGATACTCAAAATTTGAGATGTATACTCGTAATGATATTCAAAATTTGAGATCAATTTTTTTCTACATTGTTACTTTACCTAGAAAAAAAAAAAAAATTGTGTCGAAAAAGAAAAAACCATAAAAAGAGGATACGTAGTACTGTATTTAATATTCTCACCAGCCAATGGATTACCCTCATTATTTTTTTTCTCCATTTATGTAAACAGAAAAGAAAAAGGGAACAAAAAATCTTGAAAAAAGTAGATAAAATCATCGAAGTACACAGTATCAGACAGACAGACTGTACGCAAAGTATGATTTAAAGGCCTTTCTTACAAAATTGCAAAATTTCTGGGGATAACCTCAGAAGAGAAAAAACTCCATAGGTACCAGTGTTAAATCCTTCAAAAACACCATGATTGAGGAGAGAGAAGAGCTCATACTTTCCCAAAATAGTAGCAATGAAACTCCTATATTAAGAAAAGCCCATTTCCTAAAACCTACTTCAAACCCCAGAAATCAACCACTTCCAAAACCCCCTTCTTCATTTTCTCTATCCTCTAAATTTAACATCAATCTTCTTCAAAAGAAAGTATTTTTCAGGGGAAGGCCAAAACCCCAGAAAAATTGGCAGTTATGGGTTGATAATTTAATGCAAACCCATAAATTTACTTGGAAAAAAGTTGGGATCTTTGATGCAATTAGGACTACTACTTATTCTTTAATGTGGGATAATGAGTTAATCTTAGGGTTAGCTCAGAAGTGGTGTTCTGAGACTAACAGTTTTGTATTTACATGGGGTGAATGTAGCATAACTTTGGAAGATGTTATGATTCTAGGTGGGTTTTCTGTTTTAGGAGAATGTGTTAAAACCCCATCTGAAAACAGAGAAATTGAGGATATTGAGAATGAATTGCTTAGTGTTTTTGCTGATGATAGGAAGAATAGCCTTTACAAAATCAATCAATATGAATGGATGGATTATTTCATGGATTTTGGGGGTGAATTTGAGCATATGGCATTTCTTGTTCTGTGGTTGTCTAGGTATGTTTTTTCAACTGAGTATTACTGTGAAATTTCTCCTTTTGTTTTTCCTATTGCAATTGCTCTTGCTAGAGGTACTAAAATTGCACTTGCTCCTGCCGTTTTATCTGCAATATATAGAGATTTGAGCTTGTTGAAAGATAAAATTGTAAGCTTTGTGAACCCTTTTAATGAATCAAATCTTGTTCTTTGGGCACCCTTCCAATTAGTTCAGCTTTGGGCTTGGGAGAGGTTCCCAACATTGTGTCCTAAGCCTTTCCCACTCTTTAATGGTGAGCCGAGGTTGGCTCGTTGGCAAAATTTACCAAGGCTGAAAAATAAGATGGTCATGATGGGTTTGGAGTCTCTTGGTGAGAGTTTTTTGTGGAGGCCCTATGCTTTATGTGTAGAAAATTGGAAGTTTCCGGAGTTCTATGGTGATGAAGAGAGGTTGGTTTTGATAGATTCTGAGGTTGGGGAGGAACTAGTGTCATTTGCAAAATGTTTGAGAGCCTGTGAGCTAGTGGGGTTGGATTGTACACAGCAGTACCTCCCACAAAGAGTAGGGAGGCAATTTGGACTCGATCAAGATATTCCGGGTTCTATTCCTAAAATGCATGACAGTGCAGAACTTGCCTGGAGCACCTATGACATATCTCTTGATGGTGCAAAGTTATATCTATCTCCCAGGTTGTTCAAGGGGGGTGTCACTGTCCATTATTTCGATTGGTTCAGGACAGAGTTTTGTCTTGAATACATTAGTATTTTAGACTTTAAGCGACAGAAGATTCTGAGTAGTAGTCTAAGGGAAGCCAGATTCATACCATCCACAATTTCAGATGTGGTTGTGGAGGATAGCAGCAAGTGTGCCCCTGCTTGTTTAGCTCCCTCACGCAATGTTGTTCTCGGTCTTTGTTCTGATCATAGTGTTGGGAGTAGTAGTCTAAGGGAATTAACCAGATTCATACCATCTGCAATTTCAGATGTTGTGGAGGATAGTAGCAAGTGTGCCCTTACTTGTTTAGCTCCCTCAAATAATGTTCTCGCTCTTTGTTCTGTTCATAGTGTAGGGAAGATGCACATTGAAGCCACACCGTCTCGGGACAAGAAAAACCATGTTGATAATTATGAGGAAATGCCATCTCCAACTCCAAATAATGAACTGACAATCACATCATCTCATGATTTATATGGGCTTACAGCACCAAATTGCAATGGAACTTCTAGTTGTGTAATTTCCTCATGCTAT